CAAGCAAAGTAATTTGATTGGTCTCGAGCGGATTTCAGGAAACAAAACAAACTATGAAAATTACAAAGGAGCGACACACTACATACCGTTATGTGACCTCGACATTCGTACTTGATTTTGCGGATTAAGACGACTCAACCAATCTGTTTTCAGTAACTGTAACAGTTACCAAAAATAAAAGTAAACATCAATAAAATTAGACCAAAACATGAACACAAGAGAAAAGTTTGCACAGACTTCTTAAATAAGGTCAATGGAAAAAATAGGACCTTGCATTTCGAAAGAGTAAGCGTCTATTGTTTCATCGACGAGACCCGCCATGCAAATCTTTGTCACTGCAAGTAACTTATGTCACCTGCCAGATATACTAGAGCACCAACTGCGTCTTACTTGATATCGCATCAGAAAAATAGAGTACTTAACAACGAGATCGTAGTGATGATTGTGCAACTTCCATTTCATTTTCATCTGCATCTCTTCAAACCCTTTGTGGATTTTTTTCAGTTGCCGATATCTTACAGGAAAAAAAATTGATATTGCAAACGAGCCATTTAATATGGAACTGCAAAATGTAAACATCTTGATGGTCATGTCGGTGTGTGGCTCTCCATACTTGAAAAATTCATAATATGAATGATGAAATCATTAAGCTTATTATTCAGCTTGGCAAAATGCTGTCGAAGTCAACGATATTCAGAAAAAGTTGATGTTAGATTGAGATGCGCAAATATACGATACAAATAGTTCATACATTTCTTGTTATTCAATGACAATATCAATACATTTGAAAGTGAAACCTAAAAATCTTGTGACAAGTTCTTATAAATTCAGTTTCGGATGAAAACAAGAACAATTCAGCCGAAAGAGTGGCACGGATGGTTTCCATAGAAAAAAAAATTATTCAGTAGTTGGGTGGTTGGTACTCATTTAACAAAAGTATTTATTGAAATGTCAATAGAACAGTCTAACACAATACCATACCGGGCCAACCTGTCTCGTCATCATGGTATAAATAATACTTGTATCTGTAAGATTGTTTTACTAAAACTGTTACCTTCGATCGAAATCTTGCTGACCGATAAGTACTTTGCTGTACGCCTTGCTGTCAAGTCTTCTCTCGTATGTTTTATAGATAACGTTGATTTGTACCAGGAAAATGAATATGAATTTGAAGGAAAAAAAAAGGCAGGGTTTTTCTATTAATTCTGTATTGAAGCGACCATTAAGTTGATTTTAATTATCTTCAATCGATAACGCAATCAATGTTTTATTATCATTATTATGACATTCTTAACTGCCTGTCAACACATTAAAGGTCATTTGGGCCATCAAAAGGTAAAACACCACAGCGATCAAAACAAACTAAAAGGTAAAAGACAAATGCTAAAAAGGGTTATATTATAATAAAAGATTAAAGTTATAAATTGTCATAGTCTATAGTACCGACCAACATCTTTCACATATTTTAGAATTTTATTAATCTCAACAGCTTCAAAAAGGGTCTTTAGACTTGTAATGTTACGATAAAAACATTCTCGAGTAGACAGAAGGTCAATGCAGTTCAATGAAAAATATTTAACGGTAAATGGCTCATCTCATTCTATGCACTGAGAATTATCTATGTCTTTCAACATATATAAATGTGTAAGATATGTATCACCAATCCGAAGACAGGCAAGAACAACTTCGTCTCGATGGTTGTCTCTATAGCACGAAGACCATTCACCGATAATAGGTTTGACGGAGTGCAATTTATCATTGGTATATGAATCCCATTCCTCCTGCCATTGAGCTGTTAATAATTGTTTAATAAATAGTTTAAAATCGGTAAAATGATTTTTTTTAAATAACACATGTTAGCGATATAGCTTCCTTTGCGGCATGATCTGCTTTTCATTGCTTAGTGTTCCCATGTGCCCAGGAAGCCAGTAAATAGCAATACGAAAGTTAAAGGCAAGTTCAGGATATAGTATTAATGTATTACGAATGAAAATATTTTCGATATTTCTATTGCTAAATATTTGCAGTACAGAAAGAGAGTCTGAATAGATAACATCTCTGATTACTCTGTTTGTTTGAATATATTCAAGTGCGAAGTAGATAGCTCGCGCTTCTGCCGAGAATATTAAGGCGTTGATAGGCAGCCGGCATCCATAAGTTTCATCCTGTGTAACCATGGCCGCAGCAACTTTGTCATTATCTTTTGAACCATCAGTATATAAATGTAGATATGTTTTTAACTGCAATTTCGAGAAGGATGAACAAAAAACAAAGGTGTAACTGATTTAACCATTACGAAAAGTGCAAAGTCAACTTAAGGTGAATTAAAAAACCAAGGTGGAATTTCTATCGTTCCAAATTACTGAATTTGATTATAAATATTCATGTTTTGTAAAAGAGCGAAAATTCGAATACCGAATGATGGAATGGTCTTTGGTTGGTTTTGAAACAATGTTTTATATTCTGCATCAAATGCAAGTGAAAAAGTCGGATTTGAAGGACAATCAATGTAACATGTCTAGAAACGCTGTGTATGTTTTGACCTAATAAATCAAAAAGAAGTAAAAGAAATTGCGTAGGTGCATTTGATTCAAATCACTGATTTGGTATCTGTAAAATGCTAAGTTAATGTTATATTCGTAGTTTTTCGACATATAGGCATCCAGCTTTGATGCTTCACAAGCGCTCACTAATCCGAACACAGGTATTAAGAATCTAGCTCTCCGATACATCATTGTGTACATTGGTCGACCATAAGACCCTTCAAGTGATGCCATCTCATCAGGCGTCCACTTATCCCTTAATCAGTTCGAATATCTACGAAAACCCATAAATATAAGGCTTCACTGCAACAACCAAGCGGATGATTATCTGGTTTGATAAGGATTCATATGTGTACCTAAAACATTCTGTGTACAATCCATATAACACCATTGATTTCGATCGAGACTCCTTGAGATCTTTTGTAATCAACTGAGAAGTTCTTAGTATATACAAATTGTTGGTCATGGGTATTACGCCTAACAGCCCTGGCAGTGCCCACGGGATATGTGACAACTGACAGTGGCATGTATCATTTAATAAAGTGGCCTGACACCTATATGCTCACGTCATACTGAAAACTGGGTACCTACTATTCCTTGTATATGGATATATGCCTACAGAAAGCCTTTCAAAGCATGTTTGTGGTCCTGACAGAGGTCACGTTCGCTCTCTGCCATGACGTGTTCAAGGGTGCAAAGAGCAAACGTGACCGTCACCTCTGGAGTGTCGAGGATACTCTGAACAATTCATGGCAAAATTAAAGGCACAACCGAAGTTATTTGATTGGTTCCAGGAGAAACAACTGACGAATCACAGACTGATACAAATGAGCAACACTCAACGTTAAAGCCATAACAATATCCTGTTATACGATCCAAAATTCGTTTGATAAACATCAAAGTATTATGCTAGTCTTTCCGTCTCGTCCAGAGTCTGTTGCACATGGAATCTTCAATTTTGCCATGCCATGTTTCAGAAGTGCAGAGAGCTGATGTGATTGTAACCCCTGGAGTATAAAGGATGTCCTGATAGTGTCATCTCCAGCATTCATGCACCTTAATATAATTTTCTGATGTGTAAAAATTCTAACAAATGTCATGTTCGCCGGTAAATGTTGTACTTAACTTCAACATATTTAATAATATGAACTTTCATTTTTACAGCAATTGTGTAACACACTTATAGTTGTTGACATGTAATGAATAGGTCTTGCTTAAGGAACGGAATACTTTGCAGGTAGTACGTAATTATTGTACCTGCTACGCCCATTATATAATCCCAAGAGTCGACTGAATCTGCGGTAATCATCTTTATCTTGTGATAAACCCATAATAGTTGACGGGACGCATTGTGGTATGCCGTCGTAAACCTTTACGTTTTTGGATGTTTCATTTAGATTTTGATTACTTTGACATTTGTGTTTTCCTTAAAGGCAATTGCTGTCGATGGTATTTGAAAGAGGTACTCTCCATTGTTTTCATAATGTTAATCTTTTCCGGGGCTCTCTCATTTTGCACCAACTTCAGAACACGTAATTTCCAGCAATGACAACGAGACATAAAAGTTCGAACACTAAAATGTCATCATCGGTAATAGTCAGAGAGCCAAGAAAAAAGACAGGGGCATTCCAGCACACTTCAACGCTTATATACGCTAGTGATGTCTTCATTGATGTTCTGGTCAATGTCAGGTACCTTTACTACTGTTAGGCACCTTGACCGCAGAAGGCATTTTGAGAGAGTTTGTTATCATTAGTGGAATAATTTTATTCCTGTTGATTAACAGCTGTAGTCATAATTTGAATCGCGAACAGTATCATTGAGAATAAATTCAAACAAAATATATCAAAAGACTCATACAAATATGTATCATTATGTAACGTCTTAGATGTCCAATCCTGATCAGAAAGAGTTTAACCTTGACAGTGTATTAAATATCTTTGTTTTCCCAGTTTTTATTCCCCTGCGGATAGGGGTTAGAATATATCTGCAGTGTCCAACTGCTACGGTAAAAGTACACTAAAAGGGGAAGAATGAATCCTGGTGGTTGATGGGCGGTTATGTGGTTTGCGGTTTATTCTCAAGCAATCTCGCATGGCCTTCCCCCAATACATCGCTTTGGCCTCTATCTCAGTAAGACGGGTGATCATTGTGGTCCTCAGTGATCAATCGGCTGGTCATGCCAAGCCCTAGGTCAACTATATGTCCTAAGTGTTAAGGTTTTTCCTTTTGATTTCACTCAACCGTATACCCATCTATTTTTTAGTTTTTCTTTTACAGTTGTATTCCAGCAGCCGGTGGCTTAAAGGTCAATCGAGAGAGTTCTATTCTTTCGAGTATACTATTTGTATCCTTGGCACTCGTGTATCGGAGATCCGTACCGTTAGTAGTGTCCCCTCATTGGGCCCCGAGGTGGGTGGTGAGGAGCACGGGTAATTAAAACCTAAATACCTAACTATGGGCACTAAAAACCAAAATAAACGACCTTTACCTTCATCATCAGACTCAGAAGATGACCATAATTTCAACCAGTTCATCGTAATACGATCATTGAAAAAGGATAAACAAATGTCATCCGTTTCACCATCTGTCATAGAAAAAAAATCCTATCAACATGCGGTACTCCAAAGAGTGTTAAAACACTGCGGTCTGGTGAACTCCTTGTGGAGTTATCCGCCAGGAACAGGCCAAGACCCTCATAGGAATGACAAAGTTTTTTTGATATAGCGCTACAGGTTGTCTCTCTTTCCTCTCTGAACTCATCAAAGGGTGTTATGCGGTGTCCATCTATTCAGGGAGAGAGCGAAGAAAACATCCTTAGTTACTTCAAAGAAAAAGAACAGAAGGTCACCGTTTTAAACAGATCAGCGTGAAACGCGATGACACCAACACTTTCGTGCTCACTTTTAACACTCCAATTTTACCAAAACATGTAAAGGTTGGCTTCAAAAGTGTTGGCGATGTATACATCCTAAATCCACTTCGATGCTTCCATTGCCAAAGATTTGGTCATCATTCTGATAACTGTAAACAAACCCAGAAAGTTTGTGGTAAATGTGGAGTTGCGGGTCAAGACGATGGGTCAGCAGATGGTGCATGTGATGGTAAGGCTTACTACGCGAACCTTGGTGGAAGGCATCCAGCATATTCCATAGATTGCTCTGCTCGACGCAAGGAAAAAGAGATCCTTCGCGTCAAGTACACAAACAACATTACTTTTCCAGAGGCAAGGCAGATTGTTGAAAAACCTGTGTATCGGGTCCATCCTATGCCAGTCGTGCAAAGGTTGGTATTACGACCATGGAGACCCTTGATGCTGCTACACAGACATGTGATGAAGGTACACAGACTGACATGGAGTGCGACTATATTTCTTGCCTTCGGATGCTGCATCTAAGCCTTCTTCATCAAAGTCATTGCGACCGCCACAATCACCATCAAAACATCATCAAAACCCACAATCCCCATCAAAACCAGCTCCCATCACTTAAAAAAAATCAGCCCAAGATGAAAATTCAAATTTTATCAGATAGAAGGAAAAAAGGGTCTGAGTTCACACCTTTAACAAATTCGGCTCTCTCGAGGATATGGAGTACAAGGTAGCTACTTCCAAATCCTCCACGATCTCTATTTAAGCTGTAAAAACACCTTAGGTTAAACAAGCAGTCGAGCTAATAATCAATGGTCCCACATTTATCTCTGTGTATGTTAGTAATAATGGTTACAATAATCCAATGGAATTGTAGAGGTCTCCGATTTAATATTGATGAAATTCTTTGACCGTCTCAAGAACATATCCCCAGAGTAATCTGTCTCCACCAAACGCTCACCAGAGCCGAGGAAAATATCAATTTCAGAAGTTATTCATTGAAACAACGACGATTGACTTTGAATTAAACCTTTTTTTCTCGTAAGATTTGCTTTTTTCGTAAAACTAAGGAAATTAACTACATTTGATGCAACAATTTAGGAACAAGATATTCAACGGAAACTTAGGAACAATTATTTATGTAACCTTCGATACCTTAATGGCGTGCTGCAAATTCAAAGTGATGAGCCGGAGCTAATATTTTCAAGCATTTAATTTGATGAACAGCCACACGTTTAATGGGAGGCAACTCCAATGTATCATCATTAATGTTGCTTTTCAGTTATTACTTAACTTTAAAATACAATAACGTTTCCTCTGTGCCTTAATTGCACCATTTCCTGCCCGGTATAGGTCTCGTCGACACCAATATAATCCATACTTATTGTTCCGGTATCATATTGACGTAGTGCGTGCACATGCACTTTGTATAAAGAGATGTGACAGGGATATGGCAACATTAATATCGCTATTGAATTCCGCAATTTCTACAAGACAAAAATGTGAAACAGTGTACCAAACATATGTAACCGCAGATAGCATTATTTAAATCATTCAAGAAGTACTGTCCATTTGAATATTATTCATTTGTTTTGTTGCCTACAGCAAAATTTGCATAAAAAATAAGGTATTTTGAAAATTTATTGTTGAAATTATTTATGGACTCGGAATTCAGATTGTTGGATTAATTTTGTGTTTTGATAACACAATTGTTTCCATTTCAATATAAAGTGTAAAACTGCATATTTTAACCATCGAGATCGATGTTAATTTACTCGAAATAATAGGGTTTGTTTTATGTTATTTGTACACGCCCCCAAGACAACAGCTGTTACAACACGTGATTATCAATCCTCTGAAATTTGTTTCAGATCTCGTGGAAATGCATTATGGATGCTAATAATATGCTCTAAATTCAACTACACAACAAACTGTTGTTAAAGATACGTAACACTGCTCTAGGGAAACCTACTCCCATAGTCCTGTTAAAACTGTTTTTATAGATAAGAGTCGATGGGCTCGCGAATAGGAAACCGTCTAACTTTCGGCGTTACTATTTATAGTTTAAATATAAATATGCGAAAGTATGGTACATTTTAAACTCTATTTCATACCAGAATGTCAAAACGTAAGATTTGGGATATGCATATGCAACTCTCGTCAACCCGCCTATGGAAACTCTCGCACTGTAAACATAGTTACGTCATCGATTCATGCTTTTGTAACAATGTATACATAACAAGAATACGTAAATGATTTATTGATGTTTCAGGTTGATTAATAAGTATTAGAAAATACTACATTTCCGTTTCAGTAGCAAAATATTTTACCTTTAACCATGCTTACCATCTTTTCAAAGACAATGCTTACAGGAGCTGCTTTGTTACAGTAAAACGGTAACTTATTGCTCATTCTTTCACTTTCTTTATTGCATTATCATCTACTTATTTATCTCATTTTTCATTATCCGAATTATCAGCTGAACACCAAACCAGTCCTTACATGTACTTTTATAGTGTAAAAAAGCGTAGTGCACTGCGTTATACCTTCATTTCGTTATTGTGTGTAGCCTATGCATCAGCCGCTTTATGTTTATGGTTCGCTGTACGTCGAACTTTATGTTACACATATAATTTCCTGTTCCGAACGTAAGTTAAAAACAAGTTTGTGCTACACGTGGCCGGATGTTGTTAATGACCAGAAGGTGACAAAGGTCAGTGCTATAATCAAGCGTGGGATTTCCGACATTGCGGACATGTATCCAACAATAGGTTATATTGGTCTCATGTGTATGTTTGTGACAGCGGTTGCTAATGGTAAAGATAGTTTGATATTGGTCCAAGCGGTAAGTAAACACCTCATACAACTCATCATTTCAGACTGGCGAAAAAGTAATAAGTGTTTGAAATGGTCAAAGAAGCATGATTTTAACTGTCTGCATTAGGTACATAATTAATACAAGGATCTTTAGTTTTGTGTTGTGTCCGTTCATCTTTCTACCTTTTCGGCTTTTGTCTCCTACACTACCAGTTACTAGAATTTTACTTCAGATATGGGTTCAATTAATTAAAGCTGGGTCATATACATCAATGTGGGTCATTTTTATCAAATTTTCATAATAAAAAGTTTGTCAAGAATTTATCCCCTATACTTAGTCACTTGAATAATTATTTTAGGCATAGGTTTTCTTTCAGTTCATTCTTTGCAAATACTTTCACATTCGATGGGGGGCTGTATTTCAACAAATTGTCTTCTTATGACAATCTGGTCTTTACAAGGACGATTCATAGATCTATAATCTGACAGAAAATGCTGAATCTGAATTGCGTATTTAAAAGAAATTACAAAACAACACACATGCATGCATACCATTCAGGCGAGAAATACACCATTAAATTCATGAATTTTGAAATGTCTTTATTTGGATCCTTGAAACCTTAACTATTGTATTATAAAGAAAGACATATCTTTCTGCTTTGTAAATTTAGTTATGCTTTAAAAATCTGAACCAAGTGATAGAAAATATAACTTTGGTACACAAAATATTTAACCAATCTAATAAATAGCATCCAGAAAATAAAACTCGGCAAAATAATCATAATTCAAACTCGATTCCATAAACCTTGAGCGAAATAGGAACAAAAGAACGATTTATACGGAGATCCCTGAAAAAGTACAAGGAAAATAAGACCAGGTGTTATTTTAACTATAGGTATTCCGCCATGGGGATAGAAGTCCCATAAGGAGTTTCCCGAATGATAAACACAGAGACTTCTGGAAACAGGGATTGGGTCAACTGACTCAGGTAAGCGAGGTGTTGCGAATATTCTTAGCATACAGCAGGGATGATACCAATCGTATTATATACACAAATTATAGCTGATAACGACACTTGTGAATAGGAGTATCATACACATTTTTTATTAGTTTTGTTTGAATACCCTCTGCTACATCCAATTTATACAGTATGTACAAGATAAACATGTATACATGGGAAACTGATTGTTTTACCATCATATGGCGAAGCGTATCAATTTTCGAAATAATCATCATAGAATTCCATATTGTAGGAAGGAATGCTTCAGGAATACAACCTCGGAAAATTCTTGAAAAGTAGATATGGCTATGGCGTACTTTTAAGTTCAAAATATAATCATTCTGAGGTGAGTGTTTTGCGGAAACAAAATATTATATGATACAAAATTGTGAAAAAAATCTTGGTAATTGCCTTGGGAAAAGTCGAAAGTTTTGGCCGTAATTGAATTCTGGAGGTATATATGTAGATTCATTGGTACAATTGCCTATAATTCAGTAAATTTTGTAATTTTAAAGTAAGGTGATCTTAACAGGACGCCGAGTGAATCAACCGTGATATCGAATATGCGTATTCGCTAGTAAGGGAAACTAATGCATAGTTGCAATATTGTTAACACTTTGAGTTGTTTTCGCAGATCACTATAACAAGCTCTGACTACGACCGTGCCCTAATGAGTGCCTACTGTGTCCTCAGCGCCATTTATCCTCCTGATGGGACTGATCAGCGTTGGAATCCAGACCTTAACTGGCAGCCAATTCCAGTTCATACAAAACCTCGACATGAGGACTTTGTAAGTGTTGTCTGCTAAATACAAACTTTTTACCTAGTCTTAACAGGTGTAAACTGTCAACGATCAATACTTTTCATTCTCCATATATGAAAATATCTGTCCATCTTTAAGCTAGTTAAAATATTGTTTGAAGCATATTTTTACTTTGATACCCGAGAATTATAAAATGTGTTTAAAATTTATGTTCTACTTCGCTTGAATGTAAAACATGGAGCTGAGCGAGATTTGTATAAAATATTTTTATCTTAAATTGTCCCCTTGACGTTTCTGCAATGGTAATGCTTTATGATCCATGTAACAATACTCATGACACACAACATTGGACATTAAAAGTCACATAAACTTTCGCTAACATTCGTATGTATTTGTTTATCAATAGTATCTAGCAACAGCTGTGAACTGACACGTACTTGCGTATTAGCTTTCATTTCCCCAATGTTTTTAGGAATACCGTATTTAACCATATCATTATGCTACTACATATGTGATTTTCGGGTCATTTTAACAGTAATAATTTAACTTTAAGGGTGATGGATCTTGACAATATAATATCATATGAATATAATCAATATTGGTGAATTTAAAAACATACCTATATATCTAATGTTATGTGACATCAAGACTTGCCGTTAAATATTGGTTTCAAGTTCAACGTCTCAGCCAAATCCGATCAACGACGATTTGATATGTAACAATGTAGAACAGATGCTATCTAACAAACACATGCTGAACGAAAAAAAAAAATCATTTCTTTTTCAGATAATTAGCATGCAGGCTGACTGTCCAAAATTTGATAAACTGCTAACAGAGTATAATGGAAATAAGACAAAGGCCATTTTCATGGCAAAACACCAGGTACCTATCAACTCCGCTACCATAAATTTTGTATTTACATATATCTGCAATATATAACTGGAATTATACATATGTAAACTCCACTACGTATGGTAAATAATACATACTAAAATCACATTAGAGAGCGAAATATTTCAGCGTTGTAGGACTTCGTCAATAATACTTACGTCAGAAGTGTCAAAGGATCAAAAGATTTTTTTTTTTTTTTTTTTTTTGAGAATCTGCATCGACCCAAAACACATTAAAATGAATGGTAGTGCATTTAATTAACTTAACAAATTTGGTATCTTTATATCGATTTAATATTATGAAAAGAAAGGATAAAGAAACGCAATTTCTTTAATTGTAAAATGTTTTGCATTGAATGAACATAGGCGTACCAAAAGTAGGAGGAATATTGGAGCACTTAACTTAATCCCACAAAAATTGTTAAATCCGTCATCTGTGACAAAAAACCTATCCACATCCGCATTCTTTTCTATTTAAAAATAGTGTTGATTTCTGACTGTCATCAAGACGCGTGATCGCCAATATATTTGCAATCAATAACTGTAATGGGCCGTTTAGATTGTAATAATAATAATAATATCAAATCTCGAGAAAACCATGGATTTCATGAAGCTGCAGCAAATGAACCAACAACTTTATAAAGTCTTCAAGTGTTTCATAATGATACATAAAATGTAAATATCATTTTTCATTAAATGATTTCAAGATTAGATTTGTTACAACTTATAGCTATCGATCGTACGTATAACAATGTAAACCAAACCAAATTATCATCAATCTGACGACTGTTAAATTTTAAATAGAAGGTTTGTTGAAATATAAATTCGTTTGTTTCAGGATCTGATTGAAAATATTGTGAACATTTCGGGACTTCCAATAGAATCGTGGAACAGCATAACAGACAGTTTATTCTGTCAGGTGAGCAGCATAGTTTTTAAAGGCATTGAAAAAAATATGTATATAACTCGCACACCTGTATTGTCCTGATAATTCAACTCGGGACCATTGTAAGTTTTGAATAAGGTGTATGTATCATTTCAATAATTAAAACTTTAAAGGAAAATATTGGACAACCTTATGTGTTTAGTACTGAAATGATATTCCTGGTTTGAATCATCATAATTACACTTAGAACAGAACCACGTGACAACATTTTGTGATGAGAAATATTACACAGTTGATTTATATGCGTTTTTTTTTTTTTTTAATTTTTTTTTGTTATAGTACATCCACAACTTCAGTTTACCTGAATGGGCGTCCATCTTACCTTTAGATGTGGTTAAATCCATCCGTGATGTTTTTGCCACATATTATCTTCCGACACCAGAACTCGCAAAATTGAAGGGAGGTAAGTTAACGTGACGTTATCAACGTATTCCGAGGCACAAATATATCTTTTACTACCAGATAGATACCTTTTTTCATGTTACATCGTACAAGGAAATTCTCAGATAGTGTCGTTCTTGTTTAAGTGGTGTCATTTCTTGTTTCAGTTAAGCAATTAATTGTGTTTCTTATCAACTGACGGAACATCAGAATTTCTATATATGACTTGTAGAATTTAATATCAACTTATTCATATTTAAACACGAGCAGCCGATTCTTAAAACTATTTATCATAACATCAGGAAGCAGTAACACGTACTACTGGCTGGTTATCTGGGAGCATCGTGGTAGTGTAACGACTGTTTTGCGTGTTGTTATTATAATGTGACGTGGTGAGTCTCGCTGAGGGCCTTCGGCTGTATTTTTTTAGTGAAATAGCACTAAAATGTCGGCCTCTGTGCCGCAGGCTTTTAAACAATATTTGTAGGATAAAGTACGACTGACACCACTTTACACTTCTAATGCGACGATATACAATATCCTGCATAATAAATGGGGTTTTCTGCTGTTGGGTTTGTCAGTGATACCACGTTGAAGTCCATATCTGTTTGTCGCTATCACAAATAGGCTCACACAAACATATCGCAGCTCTAGAAAATACGCGCATTCAACATAGGGAGATCGTCTTGAAATAAGCATATCAAGAGATTGGTTGTTTAACAACATAACGCCAAACCAACGATTTTTAAATACTCTATGATCATAAATTACACATAACTCATTTAGATGTTGCTGTTCACGATTTATTTAGATATGATGACAAAATGATACCCTATATAAAAAATAAACACATGCATATCTGAAGTACAAAAAAATGACTCTTCTAATGCATTCTAAAATTGCAACTTGTTTCTGATGATTGATGTTTTTTTCTTTTTTAGAGGGGTGGGGGGGAAGGCAAAGAACACAAGGATTTATTGATTGGTCATATTATACTGACAACAAGCTTATTATGTAATGATACAGTTCACAAAATGCACATGATGTGTTTTTGAACATATCACATAAGAGGAATTATAAAATGTGTTGAATAATCGGGCTTGTGCACCTCACCATCTATATTTAGACAATTCTTCTATGGATCAATTCTAATGTTCCTCAGAAGTTAAATTTTCACTTCATGAAATGGTTAAACCAGACACTGACAGTTGCACCTTTCGTCCATACTTCTGAAAATTGCAGTAAAAATATAAAACATTTCTAAATTTATATACTGATGGTTCTAAAAATAATGATAAGCTCATGGTTAAAAAAGACGAAGTCTATGGATGCCCACTACCGAACAAAGCTCAATATTATCGGCGGAAGCGCGAGTTATCTACCTCGCTCTTAAAGATATTCAAACAATGTCATGAGAGCTCGTATCTATCAATACTCTCTTCTGTACTACAAAGTCTTAGCAATAGAAATATCGAAAATATTTTCATTCGTAATACATTAATACTATATCATGAACTTGCCTCAAACTTTCGTATTGTTTTTTGATGGGCACATGGGAATATCAGGCAACAAAAAGGAAGCTTCATCGCTATCACCTGTTGTTTTTAACCTTCATTTTACTGATTTTAAACCATTTATCAAACAATTTTTAACAGCGGAATGGAATCAACATACCGATTATAAATTCCACTCCGTAAAACCTATCATCGGTGAATGGCCTCCATGCTCTCGAGACAACCACCTAGACGAAGTTGTCCTTGCCCTCTTCGGATGGGCCATATATGCCTACACATCCATATATGTTGAAAGGCGAATATAACCTCTGTGCATAGGATGTGATGAGCCATTCACCGTTATACATTTTTTATTGGACTGCATTGACTTTCTGTCTACCCGAGAAAATTTTTATCGTAACATTTAAAGACCCTTTTTGAAATTGTTGAGATTTGTAAAATTCTAGGTTATCTGAAGGATGTTGGTCTATATAATAGACTATGACGTACCATTTAGATATTGTGTGATAATATGCCCATTTAAGATTTTTAGTATTTGCCTTTTCCCGTTTAGTTTGTTTGTGTGTTTTAATGACCATTTGTTTATTTGTTTGTGTTTTTTCCGGGAAATTCTCTTATTCGTATATATCGTACAGTATTGGCGAACAGTTACATTATCACAATTATTTCAGATATTCATTCATGTTCGTTACTGTTTTTGATTTATTTGTGATCTGCTTTTAAAATACGAATGACTAAATACTCTGATTACTGTTACCGTTGATTGTATTCTTTTTTCTGTATGGTTATGTACAAAATGTACCTCTAGGTCCATTACTGATGGAGATAATTGACAACATGAAGAGGAATTTGAATAATGAATCGAGTACAACAGTCTACTTGTACTCTGGGGTAAGTTTTTGAATTGAGATATTGATTTTCAAAAACGGAAAATAAGGAAGTTAACTATAAAAAATAGGAATAAACTTTTAAATAATGGTACGCTTCAGAATATGCAATATCAATATTTATTAAGTACATCGTATTTTGAGTTTGGAACACCTCCACATTTCTCGATTTGGGCCCTCAATACTGGTAGACTTGGTAGAAAAATAAACTCTATAAGGAATATTTGAACTACATTATAACTACATGCATGTATTGCCCCCTATCATGATTTTAAGCATTATTGTCAATGCCACTTATATGTGTACTTCAGATTAATTTTTTCTTGCATTTTAGCACGATACAACATTGATAGCTTTATTGCGGGTATTGAATGTGTTTAATAACAGAAATCCAAGCTATTCCTCGTGTGTATTGTTGGAGCTGTGGAAAAGTGGCGTGAATGAAACAATATTTGTCAAGGTTATATACAGAAATGAGACGGACAGCAATCGAACAATATCTCTACCAATCCCAGGTATTCATTTTGTTGACCATTACAGATTAAAGTAACTGTTAAATGTTTTATAGTATAATAACTGTTTACTGAATATAAGAATAAAAAAGAACAAAATACCAACATGTCAACATAATAATAACCCAAACTCATATTCAATGAAGTATGGGCATCAACAGAGGTAAGATTTACAGGAGTCTTTTGAAAAAATTAGAAGAACCAGGTATGTTCTGGAAGAGTAAATGCCTTCTGCTTCATCGGCAACAACTCATGCCCCCATCCCCACCCCTTTCACCAATGTAACTGGTAAATCTATGTAAGTTATGTTACATTCTCAAATGAGAACAAGGTATACATTGGAACCAATAGGGAAACTAACTAGCATTAAGCACGCCAATATGATATATAATATTTTTCAATTACTTAAATTTCTCAAATTAAAATTGAAAATCTTTGAATAAGTAGTTGGGAGGATGGAAGGATTATGCAAGGATAAGATATCTACATCTCTTGGAATGAAATACTCAACGTGACATTATATTCAATGATGCAAAAGTGTAATTGTGAAAATATTACTAATTACCTAGCAGGTCTCATTTCTCACGAATCGTGTTATTTTGATTGTCTGGCGCAAACGTTTCCCTTACGACTATTTTTACAACAAAAAGACCAAGAGTAATTATATTGGGATGGAAGGTTACTTGGCCGAAATTTGTTATAAATAATTACAGCGGCCACAAAAGTTAAAACATTCAAACGACGTCTTCTGATTAACAAAAAGTGGAGAGTTATGGAATGGATGAAGCTAAAAACTGTTATTAAGAGGGATAGTCGCACGGATGTAGATGCTGTCCTTAAGAAAAAATCAAGAAAATAACATTTTTAATTACCATGGCTGTTGATAGACATTAAACATTAATCACACCAAACCCTCAGACGACTTCATCTGATTAACCAAGTATGTCTATTATCTAATATTTGGTTAATAGACTCCTCGATTGAAATCCAACAAAGGCTGTGAAAAAGAATTAGCCTTTACTCATATTAAAGGTCACGGTGGTAAAATTCGTTAAACATGGAAACGACTTCAGCGTTGCCAAGGTCTTGAATGTGATTGGGGTTTAAGCTGACAATTCAAGTAAAAAACTTCCATGTTGAATTTATTTTAAGAATACCTGCTGACTAAGCTAACGATAGTTTCCGATCATCGGTAGACCTTTAAGTGTGATTCTTGTTTGGAACCATATACAGACATCGAAGTGTTTTAAAGACCCTGAAAATTTCGAAATGAATTATTTCATTGAAAAAATCCGAACATAGAAATACCACAAGCTTCTGTCGCAGCGCATGTATTGACGAGAATTGTTACTAAGCAGTACCACTTTGATGAAGACGAGTGTTAACATTCATCTCTTTGATAACAAACTTTTCTTGTGTTAGGATAAATGATGTGAAATTGTTTTTTTAGTGATATGCATTTAACCTATTTGCTATCTGATCGTGCGTTCAGGGTCCCTGCAGAACAGACATAAACAGTTGTTTCCGTTATTTCTATGTTAAAATGAAATTGTAAGTAAAAATGTAGTTGTACAGCATTGAAAAATAGAACTTTTAAAATTATTTTTTCATTATTAAACATTCCATGTCTGTACATGTACTTCAACCAAAATCAGCATTCACAAAGATGGCGTTATATCGTCCGAAATTTTACGTAATGAAAACTCTTCTGAAGCTTGTATCTATTAATACCATTGTTCTGATTTTATTTTCATTCATGACGAAAGCTTAACGTCACGTTACGAACTGAGAATAGATTTATCCCCGACTGTAGACAATTTTATTTTGAGATGGATCACCTCCATCTATAATATGCCTTATTTGTTAAAAGTCTGTCTGATGTTATTAAATATTCTTTCCTGTTACAGGGTGTGTTGTTAACTGTCCATTTAAAACCTTTATCAGTATTCTGACAAGGAACACACCAAAAGACATAAAAGAAGAATGCAACATTAGAAACGACATTTATTGGATAAGTGAGTCATGCTTTATCATCTTCACTCATGCATTTTCTAAATTATTTTAACGACACGATGTAAATATGAATGTGGTCATCACCATGCTATAACATTACATTAACGAATCCATAACGAGCTTAACACAATACTTTTCATTTTTTAAGGACTACAAAGACGATATTATCACAATTGAAATGACCTCATCTTGTTACGTGATGTATAAAAATTTGGTTAAGAATAAATATAACGTGATGGAGTATTTGGTTTTATTTGTACAGATGATAACAGAGTGACATTGCTGTTTCTGGCGAGTTTACTTACCCTATTGGTTATCGTAATGGTCATCTTCACTATCTTGATATACCGTGATAGACACTATACGTCAGCGTACAAAGCGGTACCAACCAGGGACGAGGACATTTGAAAACAATACAACGATGATATTTTCTGAAATTACATCTGGTTAAGATATAATGTAGATGAAATCTTTTCAATTGACTAAAGATATAAATAAATACAAGGCAGTATTTTCCAACTCTGTAAATGAAATGTCAAGTCAAGTAAGTCAGTGTGTGTTCTTAGTATTTATTCAGGGTAAGGACGCCCGACGTTGCTGTTTTACATTTATTAGCTAGGAGCTAACATCGTATGCTCGACAGCATCGATATCATTCACGGTTTGTTAGTTAGAAACTAGCAGAAAACGCTTAAGGAACGTTGATATCGTTTGTTTAGAAGCTCTCAAAGAATATCCCGACAAGATTGATATACTTTGTCTTGGTGAACAAGCAGCTTTCACTAGATGCCCAACTTAATTAATGTATCTTGGGTTGATTAGCTTCTAGAAGTTGACACAGAGCGACCCAACGACGCAGATATAGTTTTGTGTAGGCGAACTAGATTCTAAGACAGGATGCTGAAAGGACATTGATTTCACTTTGAAATTGTTTGCTACAGTCATTGGCGTGCTTTGTGTTGATAAACTAGAAACCTGAACAGGATGCTCGCCGTTCAGATAAAAGAGACACTATCGGAGCTCTCCTGATAGTAGTTAAATATGACCCACAACATATCACATTACAAATGTTCGATGGTATAACCAAAATGATACAATGTTATACAAGGTTGCTTTTAATTTCCCTTTTAGAAATTTTCTCCGCATCAGTCTTCATTTTATACAGGGATAGGATGTTCATATTTTGTTTAGTTAAAGCCTTGTTTTCAGATATAATGTGCCTTGTCTCTTGGAAAACATACACACAAATATACGTAGAATAACATTAGAGTTACATTATTGTATTTCGTTATGATGAATTATATAAAGAGCATGCATGTCAGTCGTAATTGTGTCGTGATTTAGTCTTAGCAAAGTACCATGTTTTACATACACATTCAGATTAAAGATGTTCATATTTATTCAACGCAAACTTGTTTTGTTTTTTGTTTGTTATTTCTATATAGGTAATTTTCACCTACATTTTGAAAGTACATATGCAAATATACAAGCCAGTTTTATAAACTACCCATTGATTAGAGTTGTAATTCATTTGCATGACACAAGCAAAAGTATAAAACAATATATTCCAGCAGGATCGTGGTGCCAACACTATTATACATCGTCTTTATTGATTGGTCTTATGCAATCTTAAGCCTATCGACAGCTGCTCTTTTCATAGTTGTCAAATGTTATATTTGCTCAATACAGATTTGTGATTTGGCGGTATCAAATTTAGCCCCTTATGGGATCATATGCGTAGAGTAACGAAGCGATAATTAGGATCTGCATTTTAATCCGATTGAGATCTAGAGGTCCAGCTTGCAATGTGACTTGAGCCTAGTAGTAAAATACTTCTATCAGTAATAGTTATGGTGTCTTATTTACTTCTTTTTCATTATTGCTTTTATTAATGTAGAAAAGGTAATTTCTACTCACTGAGGATTTGTAACATAAGCGGGGTTTTATTCACATCAACCAAACCGGCCAAGACTGACGTGACCGTTTTCTCTCAGCTCGCAAAATGCTTAAACATCTTATAATATTTGTTACATATATCATGTTTTTCTGGTCTCTGAGATTGACCTTTATTTCCGGACGAAGCTTCCGGGCCTTGACCTTTATTCATATGATAAGCAGCATATTTTGTCTCTATCAGAGATATGGCCCTTCAATGGCAAATATGGTTTTTAAGTCACTCAATTGTATCTAGATATTACTTTCAAATCGCCCTCCTCCTTCCCTTAATCATTTTAGTATATAGCGCTGTTTTCCTTCATGAAATTGTGAATCATTATTACAATTTCCATCTTTGTATCCTTTTCTATACAGTATTTCGTCGGCGAGGGACGGGCGCATTTTTTCTTCCGCCCTGTAGAACTACTGTATATCAGTCGATTTTTCAAAAACAAATCTGGATTTTAACTCTATTTAAGAGTAAACAAAAGATGTGTTAAATGCCTTTACCATTGAAGTGTCTCTCAGATGAAAAGCAAGTTATTTCATTTAAGGGCTAAATCATGTTTATGTCGATTTCATTGGGTGATGACTTGAGGTTGTCTTCAGACAAATTTATTGAACTGTGAAAAAGTTTATAAACAAGATCAACTCAGTTAACACGTCTTTTTCTCTTGTGAAATTCTTTTCAGTGTTTCTAATATAAGGGAATGTGCAAGTCTACATGTTGTAATGTATAGCAGAAATTCGGTATTGTTTTAACAGTTGAACATATTTCAGTAAGATTGACAATAACAATATAGAAATCTAAAGTACAGGTTATAACTGTTATATTTATATTTCAAAGTAATGTAATTACATGGACATGTATAACAACGGATAACGTTTAGACGAAGTGCGCAGGTTTAGAAATGAAAGACGGAAGCCATTTTTTTCAGTCATGACGTGGACAGCTTGAAGCCTTGCTGATACTATGTTTTACATTTATGGAACGTTAAACTACATATATGGAATATCGATTTGAAAAGAAACCAGACGTGACTTGCGAGACGAGATAACTTGCTGTGACAGCTGGCTGTTCGATTGTATTTCAATTATGATTGGACAGTTGTGACTGGCGTTGTTCTCAATCTGTACGGAAAAGCAACATGTGAGCGAGTGGGATTTCTAGGGAAGAACTCTCAGAACTACATGACTTTTCACTACCCCTAGCAACAGTAGACAATGTTTTGGTGATTGATTGTTTCTCGTCGCTGGAACAATTCCTTGTGTAGCTTCTTACCTTCCGATAAAATTAATACGGTTCGCCCTTAGGGTAACCAGCTGTGCATCACCGTTATACATAAGCACTGGGCTGTGTATCGTTAACTATATTTTCCAAACTTTCGTATGTCTGGCATGTAACATAAGATACTAATCTGTCCAAGTGAATCATAGCAATGTGAATTCTTCTGTTATCATCATAGCTTCTGTAACACATTAAAAAATGAAGTGCTGTTTGAGTCACTTTTGGCCTGAATCAGTTCCAACATTTGAACTGGACACTTTTTATTGTGAGGTCGCATACATGCGCTTGTCGTAATTTGCTACGGTGTTGGTGTCTGTAATTGTCAAAAATTTGATTTCAAAAGTTTCTTTACATGGTGGTTTGTCCCAGAAAAAAAATTCATTTCACATTGCACAATCTTATATGATTACACGTTTTTTCCTTTCGTTTTCATTCTAGTTTGTGAAAGCTGACTTTCAATAGATGAGGCTTCCACTGCTGACTAAACTGAGTTTGCTTTGAATATATCTATGAGTTCTTCTTCTTCTTTATTGCCCATGTTTTGTACTTCAAAGACATTAATCATGTCCAGGAGCAGTTTTGTGTGGGCATCACCTAATGGATTATTCCTTTTTATGTCTTGATGTTGAATGATTCAGAATTAATTGCCATATTTGCAAATGTTGCAGCAAACGACAACATTCACATGATCTTATGATATGAGAATCCATATGAGTGACCAAAAATTGAGCAATTCCAAGTTCTAAATAACCTTTTATTCTCTTTTGGTGTTTTGTAAATCTTTTACGTATGGTATTTTGATTCGTTATAAACGTTCTACTGAACAATTACCGAAAATGTTCGTCCCTTCCAAAATGTATCCATGTGCACAGACAATGCTAATTTGTCAATTTCATAGGCAACTTAAACATACAACATTTGGTAGATTTATTAACCCTAATCTTGGATGAAAACAGAAGTATTGTAATTTAAACTTGATGGCAACAATCCCTTTATAGGTGTCTCATGCAACATGAGTGATATTATGAATTTTGTATCCTGCATCATCGGAATTTTGTTTTGGAAATATTCATCGGTTGGGTATAATGCCCGGATGTATAGCAGTGGTAAAGCATCCGATGTTTCATCTTTATTGTAGTGCCAATGCAAAACATATACAACTAATGAAAGTGATTTCATTGATGTTTAGAATAAACCCTTGACAGTTGGACTACCTAGGTCTTTGCAAGTTATTAAACAAACTTGGCGGGGTATAGGGTTATCATTGTATGGAAGGCCAGAATTGTATAAACCTTGATCAATATATTCTAACAATCGATGATATTTTGATAAAAAAGATCCTCTTGGAAAAAGGTGAATACATCAAATAGCAAGAGATTATCACCATGAAAATCATCACAGAAATGTCATTAATAGTGCATCAAATAAGAGAGTAATAATTTCAATTTCAACTGCAAGAAATTGTAATGGTTCGTATAACCAGGACTCAATCACTTGAAATATAATTTGATAAAGCAGAATGCTGAAACAATTATTTCCCTTATCATGTGTTAGGTAAAACATTAAGGGCAATATGTTTATACATAATGAAAACAACTCTCCTTGTCCAGGTGTCATGATAATGAAAACATCCTCTATCTCATCCATGTTTTATGTTTTAACATATATTACATAATTTTTGTGGACTACAATTTATAAAGACGAATGGTCAGATAATATATATATATATATATATATATATAGATATAAAAACAATTAACAAGAAATAAAATGTTACATGCCCTATTACTGTCCTTACCTAAATCAATAAATATTGTGACAAAACATATATCAACAAATTAATGAAAGCACTCATCATTTGTGTAAATGGATATATATACCTTTAAAACCATCATATAGATTACCAGATAATGTTTATTTGTTAATGAACTGCCATCTCCAAGGTGGGGACGGTCGATCTGTTGTTACACAGGGACGAATAGCATGGACGTATTACATGGAAGTCATAAACGATAAGTTATCAACAAATGTGCATTAATCCCATTATCATGTTAGGTAAAACATATAAACAGATTTTGACTTTATCTAATAAAATGAACATTCCAAAAATTAAACCAGAGTTATCTCCCATTAACTGTTTTATCATATATTACATAATTTTTGTGTCTACAAATAGAAGTCAAACGCAATATATATATATATATATATATATATATATAAATTTTGTTACTTTTAAAAGATAATAAAATGTTCCCATTACATTGGGAAATCAATAAAATTGTGAATTCACAGCAGGTAATGAAAGCACTATACATTTCGGGTGTCTTTAGTCAATTACCTAGCATAATGTCAGAAACGTTTGCACGACCATCACTGCCCACACTATGTATAGAAACCTGTAAATGAAAGAGTGTCGTTTTTGTGAAGATAGGATCTTATAAATAGCTAATAGCTTCATCGGTTGTTCCACGCAGGAAAATCTATAATTTTTGCTGTGATAATAGTAATGTATGATAATAGTTTAACATGTTTGTAAGTCAAACGCATTTACATACTATACATAATTTACTGAATACTTTTAAACTATATTCTTAATTGATGTTAATGAATTCAGATAGCTGTGACTCGTGTGATTTCATATATATTGGCAAGTCAAAAATGCGGGAAAGTGATAATGCATTCTTAATAAGTATTATTACAGCCTTTTTACTAAGATTTTCTTTAATATATTGGCAAGTCAAAAATGCGGGAAAGTGATAATGCATTCTTAATAAGTATTATTACAGCCTTTTTATCAAGAGTGTTTTCTTTGAAATAGTGCTAATAAAAAGACTTGAAATAATGCATGCCGAAACAAAACTCGCGAACATACAATATGTTTACTGCGATCTCAAACTCGTTTCAAATCTCACCATTGATTATGGAGATTGTAACTTGTTAAATGTACTCGGTTATCTTTGTGATTTGAATATGACTTTATCTCTGTGGAATGATGGACTTCTGATTAAAGGCCACATTTAATGATAACAAGAATGTGACTCAAGTTATAGGTAGAAATTAGGAACATTTACAATCAATGAGAAAAAAGTTAACATAAAGAATGACGCAATGTTGCCAACACTGCAATATATTACTAATAACAGGTAAATTGTGATAAATCGAAAGCTGATATAACAATGTCAACATAACTGCATTGTTAATGATAAACACTTCCTAATAGATAATATACTATATATAGAGTGTACGAAGGTAAACTCGCTATGATAATGTGCCCGTATGTGTACACTAACTTCGTATGATATTTCACACATGCACAAGTAGCCACAGATGTAGTGTCGATACTAGTAGGTATCAAAGAGACAAAATCACGGTGTGAGTGTAGTAAGCTGCTGAGAATGAAAGGATATATCTATGTCATTGTAATAATACTTCTATGTTGTTGGACACTTAATGCCCAGTCATGTAAGAGGAAATCGTCGTGTTCGTGTGAATGCAGTGATGGGGTACTTGATCTGAAGCCTGGTGCTACAAAGTCTTCGACAAAGTAAGGATTATAACGGAGTGTTAATTTATCCAATGATTTATGAGTATGATCACTTAAAGTATTATCTTTATAACACAATATAGACTGTAAACAAATAAAGAAATATAGCACATGCGGTAAGATGTTTGATTCAGAATGGAGGATAAAAATAAAGGTTACTGCATGTATGGGAAAACTAAAGGTGAACTGCTCAAAGGTACCGAGAAACCGTCACGAGATATTGTAAAGATGTTTACTCCAGAATATAGTGTGAACTGACATGAAGATGTTAACACCTCAATGTAGTGTGAAAAGTCTATTGATACTGAACTAACATTAAGATGTTCACACCACAATGTAGTGTGAAAAGTCTATTGATACTGAACTAATATTTAGATGTTCACACCTCAATGTAGTGTGAAAAGTCTATTGATACTGAACTAACATTAAGATGTTCACACCACAATGTAGTGTGAAAAGTCTATTGATACTGAACTAATATTTAGATGTTCACACCACAATGTAGTGTAAAAAGACTATGAATACTGAACTAACATTGAGATGTTCACACCACCATGTAGTGTAAAAAGACTATGGATACTGAACTAACATTGCGATGTTCACACCAGAATGTAGTGTGAGATAGTCCAGGAAATCTACACTGAAATTGAGATGTTAAAACCACAATGCAGTGTGTTCACACAATTAAGGGCAAGTACATGTTAAGGATACTACACAATCTATGTATTTATAAAACAGATATATTTTCAAAACATAATGAAGTTTAAAAACGGTAAGGGATTCTGTGCTAACGTTAACTTGTTCACAACAGAATGAAATGTTATAGAGTTAATAGATACTGTACTTACGTTAAGCTGTTCATAACAGAATGTTGTCGGAAAGAGTGTTTAAGTATCAGATTCAGCGTGCAATTAGCAATCCGCGATATTTTTCTGGCAAATTTAGATAGATCTGTGTAAAAGACGGGGAAAATATCCCTGCTGTTTCTCATGCATATCATAAGAGAAGGCTATTTTTTAACACTCCTTGGAGTTTTAGGATGGCTTCATCGATGTCTTGTGTCAAGGGAAATCGGAGAGATTATGGGATCATAGGATGCGACTGAAATAGGATCACTTGCAGAATCGGAGTTTTTGTTCTGTGTCAGGGGCACCTTAAAAGAATAAACTAGATATATTTCCTCAATTGCGACATTTGGGATTTTTTTTCTTTTATTTCCAGATGCTCTTCTTTCTCTACACTTTGTCCCTCTTGGCAGCTAGCTATTGGGAGGATACTACAGGCCATAAAACTTAACTAAACACAGATTGAAACAAAAAAACAAAAAAAAAACAAAAAAAACAAAAAAAAAAAAAACAAAAAAAAAGATGGGACATTGAAATATAAATTGAAGACAAGATTATAGAACATGGAAATCTAGAAAAAATAACATTCGTTTTCTTATGTTTAGATCTTGATAAAAACCTTGAAAAGTATAACTTCAAAAATTCGAATAGACTGAAAAAAACGACTCTCTTTAGTATTTACCGTCATATTGAATGCTTCTATTCTATGACATAGAATAGAAATACTCTTTTTCATATCTTAGTCGAGATTTATAACAAAGTTTGGGAACATTATTTTCAGATATCAAGACGTAGCAGCAGCAGATGGCAGCTTATATTCATATAACCCATGTTACAGCTTTGATGAAACGGACCCCAGCTTACCACCTCAGTTTGATAACTGTAAATCTGTGGCAGTGAGTATATACCATATTCGTCCAACAGGCGACATGTTATTAAATAATCAATTACATTATGAACACATTCCATATTAGTCCAGAAGACACTGAAATAGAATTATACATGAAACCAATAATAAGATTAGTGTAGCCTTAATAACAAAAAATGTATCGTGAAAAATTAATATTTGACGATATATCGTATGGCACTGAACATCATAGAAATGTTTACACTCACAGGATTGTCCGGTATTATGAAGATGGGCCACAACATATACAATGTATGACATTTAATGGACTCGTTCTGGCATACGAGTGAAATTGATATGATATAACATTTGATTCTCCTTTTATTTTATTTTAAAAGGAATGAATTAGTTATCATTTATCCCTGACATGACAAATCTATGTTCTAACAAAAATGTTTAAGGATATACTTTAAAGAAAACAATATGATGATGCGCTTGAAAATAAGGCAAACAATTTTCATTTGTCACTCTGCGTTATTTTCTGATGAGAATCAGACAACGTTTTTCTTAAGATATGAATTTAAAGAAAACAAATAGTTTAAACAACAATGATTTGTTGAGAGCCCCTCCTTTACAACCTTCCATTTATTTTGCTTCTAGAAAGTAAACCATTGCATTTCAAAGCAGTGAATAAAAAGCAAACGTTCAGGTTGTTCAAAACTCAAAATGTCAAGATACATCTCCTAAGAGGGTAGATTTTTAAAATGTATTTTACTGCCAAATTGTAATAAAATGTATTAAAGAACAATTCAGGATAAATCGACCATAATTTGCGTTGTCATTTCTTGTTTGATGGCCAAAATTTCAAAAGTCAAATGTGCACTTTGGTGTTGCATCTTCAAAAGTTAAATTATCGATACTTCTTTAAATTCGATTCATCTGAATGTGTTGAGTTCTGTCATCTAGTCAAGATATATCTGTAGAAATGGTAACTAGTTCTTACTAAATACTTAGTATAACGACTGGTAAGGTCGTTTTCGGCATGCTGTAAAATTCAGTGTGGTAGCACTATAACAAGGAGGCTCACACAAACATATCAGTCTCTCACAAACGTTCGCACTCACTTGATGCAGTCACCTCCCACTTCAGACTTTGACAGTTGCACTTTTCGTTTATCCTTCTCGATATTGCAGTCAGAATATTAAACATTTCTACATTTAGATACTGATTGTTCACAAGATTATGATAAGGTTACCGCAAAGGAAGCTTTATCACTACCATTTGTTGTTTTCCAACTTCATTTTACCGATTATAAACTATTTATTTACAATTTTTAACAGCTTAGTTGTAGGATTAATGGAATCAATATACCAATAATAAACTGCATTCCGTAAAACCTATCATCGGTGAATGGTGCTATAGAGACAACCACCGCGAAGAAGTTGTCCTTGCCCATCTCAGTACATAGGATGTGATGAGCCATTCACCGTTAAACAGTTTTTATTGGACTGCATTGACCTTCTGTCTACTCGTTTATTATTTATCTTTTTTATCGTAATGCTTCAAGTCTAAAGTCCCTTTTTGAGGTTGTTGAGATTCATAAAATTTCGTTGGAAGTAGTCTTATATTGCTTTATGTCATTCACACATTTAAAAGCCAGATAAGCACAAAGATAAAATAGCCACTAAACTTGATACATTTCATAAAAAATAATTTAGAATTGAAAGGAACTGAACAAATCCTGTCAAAAGACATGATTATTAATTCAGGCATGTCAGCTTGTCCCAGGTGCCCAAAACCAGTTGTACGACATTGGTACTCAGGAAAGCGCATCGTTTAGCTACAAAGACGGAGCATCAATAGACCAGCCAAATCTTGGTAATGTCCTAACTGTAACTTACGTCGCTGCAGACAACGCAAGGTATGATGTTTATCCAAAACTGCATGCACTGTGTTTGTTAATATCAAATGTAACTTTGTTTACGATACTGAAGGTTTATTAATTTTCGTTGTACATTTTATCATTTACTCTGATCTGGTGATAATTTGTTAATCCATTCGTGCGCGAATAGATAAAACTGTTGAATATTGGGTTATATTAAGAAGGACAAGAAAACTCGAAAGTCCTTAAAAAGTACATAGCACGATATAGATACGAAAGCCATATGTAAAAGCATTCACTTTCAATGGCATAGATATATATGTTTAAAATCTTTCTTGATAAAAGAAAAAACTGTGATTACCTTACAGGTATGAATAAAAATTTACCTTCAGTACGAATTATCATTTTAAGATCCAGTATGCACAATGAAACTGAATAGTTCTTTTTAATGTAAAATTCGTTGCAATGATAGCTTATTGTTATTGCTTTAGTTAATTATCTAATATGAGTTAATAACACTTAAAGCGAGTTAAATCTAAATAGCAAAATTCTTATTATAAGCTTTCTAAATTAACGTAATTACAACATATTTGTGTATATTGTACAACTGTACGACGTAATTCAATTTTTTCATTTGTCATAAATATGCTGATCTTCAAACACAGTATGTCTTATTATCCAAGTATTTTGTAAATCTTTCTTATTTGCCTTTAGAGAATTAGTTTCAATTAAGATTATGTTGCTATGTGTATTTCCTATGCTGTTTAGGTGTTTTTATTGACTTGAAAATGATTAAAAGCATGGTATAGCATGGATTTTAACTGTATTGCTGTATATATTTGTTGTGTTGTTTAATCAGAACGACGACTGTAGTTCTACAGTGTGACACAACAGAGGACTTCCTTCCTGTGGGTGAAATCCCAAATTCACAGCCTCCATTATATGTAAGAAGATTTGGATTAATGACAAGATTCAGTAAAAGTTATGACCTATCATTACAACGGCATACGATTTATGACGAAAATACATGCGCAACATTTTACATTTTTATTAATATCGTTGTACAGCTTTTCGTTTAGGCAATTTTCTTATCTTATCTTATTATTTGCTCGAAAAGAACGAATTCATATCAAATGCAGTAGTCAAACACTAAACATGAAACCAACAATAGTACACGAAAGAAATACGAATGTAAAAACATTGCATTTCCTAAAGCTGAAACATCTGCAATAAACTAGCAATATTACATATAGAAAGATATAAATAGATACTCAAAGAAGGAACAATAAAAGTAAGTAAAGGTAGGTAACAAAAAAAAAAAAAAAAAAAAATCAGCGTTTCAGGTGTCAAAATGCTGGATATATATGTAGTTTGTATAAATATCTAATTTATCTATAAATGATTTATGCGCGATGTAATTTCTGGTCCCCCTTTTGTTCTTTTACCATCAGATTTGACGTTGTGCTTAGTCCCATCTATAATTATTGATCCTCTTTACAATTATTGTTTGTTTCAGATTTATGTCTATTCAACTCCCAATGCATGTCTCAAGCCTTTAGGGTTAAGTGCAGGGACCATTCTGATAATTGTGTAAGTACTTGTGTTATAAGCTAGTCCTACAATGTCTAATATTAATTTCATCTTACATGAATTGATATGTGTGTTATTTTTTGTTGAAGCTGATTTTGTTGAAAACATTTGGTAGATATATAATTTATATCCCATACTATTCTTTAAAGAAGTAGTAATAAAGACACCTGGGTAATATGACCCCTGAAATACTTTATCCTTTGGTAGCTCGATTTATTGTTACCAAGAATGAAATTATATATAGTTACATTTTCTTTAAAAAAAATCTTAAATGTCGAAGTATTTATTAAATTAAATTTTCATGTAAATGAGGCAAAGACGAAGCTGATGCAAGCCTTTGTTATAAATATACTGTGTAGTAATCTTCTATCGCTAGTATATTAAAGGTCCTAACATTATTAAACCCTTCTATATGCACATATATTCATATTTAACTAATAAATCTCCCCATAACCCCTTAAAGGCGACAAAATGGTTATCGAAATAGAATTGATACTGTACCTCTATTTAATGTTCTTATTTCAGATTAATATGTGTCATAGCGGTATATTTAATAGGCGGGGTACTGTTTAATAAATTAAAGAAAGGAAACAGTGGAAAGGACTTGATTCCACAACGGGAGCTCTGGGTGTCTTTACCAGGCTTAATCAAGGTCAGTCAATTAAATGCATTCGTCTGGTTATATGACTAACGACCGATTTGACAATTCATTTAAGCTAATAGCATCAAATTGATGAAAGTACTTATCAAAATATTTAAAATGACCGTCTCAAAAAAGAATATTATAAAAGTTGACAAAAAAATTTTTAAATATTTAGAGTAGAAGATATTTAGTATCCTTTAAAATCTAATTTATAATTTGATCTCACAAAATTCTGTATTTCGTGTCAAATTATATACATATTTAGTTATACAGGTACTTCAAATATTTTATTAATTAAGTAATTAAATTAATTAAAAAAATACTTCCCCTTGGTGTAAGTGTGAGATTATATATTAAAATATGTTGGATTATCTTTTCCTTATATTGTTTATATTGTATGCAGGATGGTGTGTTTTTCGTTGTGAAAAGAGGACAATATCATCCAATCAAAGGATAACATTGATTCAGCATCTGCTGCTATTCCTGTGTATCAACTGACAAAGCAACGCACAAACTAAAATACTAACTTATTAGCTACTTTAGAGATTATAGTAATTTATTTTCTGGTGATAAAAGGGAAATCACTTGTGCATGACTATTTTCAGGATTACTTCCCTTTGACCAAAAACCAGCAGATGGCGCATGTCGTGATTATATCGTGTTGATTCTCGGTTTTGATGGTTTTATCATTTTTGTGAATCTTAGTTTTTTTTCTCCTTTTTACATTTTAAACGATTTACAAATATAGTAAGAAAGGAACCAATATATTATTATTTCAGTTCTGCGAAATATCAGTGATAACAGATTAACTTTGATGTTTTTTGAAAATAAATCGTAATTTCTTTTGACATTTTATTAATGATTGCAACATACAAGGACAAGTTTTATAAGAAAAGAATAAACCCATAAATTAACGTGTATGATTTTTTTTTAAATCGCCAGATTTGTAGATAATATGAAAAAAACCAATATACATTGAAATGATTACTCTGGATTTACCTTATTCTTCAATGAGCATTCAACATATCATACACTACACTTATAATATGTTTTTCAAATCTGTTTTGAATGTAAGTTAAAAGACTGGTAACAAAGTCGACCTGATATTTCTTATATTAATAAACCTGTATTTGCTTACTGTTAACGAATATAAGACGCGCGTCTTACTTTCCAGTTTACAAACTTTCACAGGAATTCATATCTAGCAACTGATATCAGCATTCTTTAAGAAGTGACAAGCATGTGTAATTTCTGCTTAACGAATACAGATTTATTATAATACACTATACGAGATGCATAACTTCCTAAGCTTAATATTTCATCAAATTCGAGTTTTATTTCATTTTAAAACAATAAAGATTTATTTTATTCAAGACGTATGTTATGCCTTATTAGGTAAAAAAATAAAACGTGCAATTCAGATAAAATGAAATAATTTTCAAAACGCCAATCACATGAAACCTTTCCAATATATTCTGTGTTTATGTTTTGTGTTTTGATTTAATTTCCCTTTTTGATATTAGAGGATACCGAGACAAACTTAATGAAAATAACACAATACAAAATTAATAAAACATAAGGGAATGAAATTGATACATCATTTCTGATATTTCACACAATAGTAAAAGTACAATCGGGTAACGTTAAATCACATTATGTGTTTGTTGAGCAGCGTTTGTCGCTATAGAAGCGAACATGATCTATCGAACTTATTCGATAGGGAATATGATAATTTACAGTAAATTATATTACACATTATCTTTGTAACCGCAGACTGAGCCAACCTTTATCGATGCAGGCATATTGAATCCCATTTCGCATTAACGATACTTGATCGATTAGCATAGAATAATAGGTAATTAATTAATCCTCTTTAGCTATGATTACTTCAGCATTGTATTTCATATAATTAGATTCATAATGGCGTCTCTGATTTTTGGGGTTGGCATACACATTGCTAATTTGTGACTGTGTTGTTGATAGTTTACTTACAAATATGCTTAATAATGATGACTAGTATTGCTTTTTATTCATGTATCTTGACTCGAGGTGATATTCGATTCATTGCTCTGCCGGAAACGGTATGATGATATCAATTAGTCAAATGTTACTTTCATTTCATGCATAAATACATGCAAACATATTGCCTTTGTTTGATCTATCTGGTCACCGTTTATTGGTACACATTGACAATACAGTTTCAACCTCAAAAGTACATTGTTAAGAAATAATTAAAGTTGATCAATAGATCAATGATAAGATGGCCTGGATATACCAATTACTCATTACGGATCTCACGGAATACTTGTTACATTGAAGAAAAGGAAATCAACACAATAGATATCTGTACGTAAATAGAATAAACTCCAGTAATTTGATATTATGTATATTTCGTCGTCGGTAACTTGAACATGCCTGTCTTGATCAAACGTATATCCATAAATATGCAACTTATGAAAAAATCCTAAAAAAAAAAAAAAAAAAGAAAAAAAAAAAAGTATTTATAATTTTTCTTTATTGATCTTATGGTAATGTTGCAATATTACCTGGCCTCTGTGCAGTTATTATGGCTGAAGTTGTAAGGACCTTAGTTCTAAAACTTATTTAAATATTCACTTAAACAGCAAGCAGTGAATACCGTTGTATAAACAAGACATTTATTATATCATTAAAAATGTAACACTGCTTTATGTTAATCGTTCGGGTATTATTTAAAACGCGATCTGTTTTAAAGCGGTGTTTTTATCATATACCTAATTACTAATTTAATGGGCATCTGTCATATTATTGCTAATGATAGTATTTATCTATAATATGTAGATACATTCAGAAATTATTTCTTGCAAAAAACATATTTACATAATGATATTTTTGTGCTATCAAAAATATACACACACTGGTATAACAGGACTTTAGCTGACATTGTTCAGTTCAGTAAAGATCCTGATGTCTTTACTTCCATACGGTTTCTCTTCATTTGTTTTATCACGAAATGGTTGTTTATCCGAAAATGTAGACTTCTCGAAGTGGCAATTCGATATGTGTTGTATTACATGAAACAAATAGCTCACCGCCGTTATGTACACACGAAAACTTGACTTATAGTGAAAAGAAATAGCGATCTATCTAAATTATTGTGAAACCTGATAAAAAACAAAATCGTAATTGACACTAAGAGTTTAACATCAACGAAGGTTTACCTTATTTTATCTTATGTGTCGTTCTTATCAGTGTAAAACTATGTAATTAGATAAGGAGGAACCAGACATAACCAATACACAATCAGTGTAAACATTAATCCTGGCCCAAGTAAGTCGTGGTAACAACCTATTTCCATAGCCCTATATACCTCGTGGTAACGACCTATGTCCATGGTCCTATATACCTCGTGGTAACAGCCTATGTCCTGGCCCAAGAAAGTCGTGGTAACAACCTATGTCCTTGGCCCTATATACCTCGTGGTAACAACCTATTTCCATAGCCCTATATACCTCGTGGTAACGACCTATGTCCATGGTCCTATATACCTCGTGGTAACAGCCTATGTCCTGGCCCAAGAAAGTCGTGGTAACAACCTATGTCCTTGGCCCTATATACCTCGTGGTAACAACCTATTTCCATAGCCCTATATACCTCGTGGTAACAAACTATGTCCATGGTCCTATATACCTCGTGGTAACAACCTATGTCCATGGCCCTATATACCTCGTGGTAACACCCTATGTCCTTGGTCCTATATACCTCGTGGTAACAGCCTATGTCCATGGTCCTATATACCTCGTGGTAACAACCTATGTCCATGGCCCTATATACCTCGTGGTAACAGCCTATGTCCATGGTCCTATATACCTCGTGGTAATAACCTTTTCCCATAGCCCTACATACCGCGTGGTAACAACCTATGTCCATGGTCCTATATACCTCGTGGTAACAGCCTATGTCCTTGGCCCTATATACCTCGTGGTAACAGCCTATGTCCTTGGCCCTATATACCTCGTGGTAACAACCTATGTCCATGGTCCTATATACCTCGTGGTAACACCCTATGTCCATGGTCCTATATACCTCGTGGTAACAGCCTATATCCTTGGCCCTATATACCTTGTGGTAACAACCTATTTCCATAGCCCTATATACCTCGTGGTAACAACCTATGTCCATGGTCCTATATACCTCGTGGTAACAACCTTTGTCCATGGTCCTATATACCTCGTGGTAACAACCTATGTCCATGGCCCTATATACCTCGTGGTAACAGCCTATGTCCTTGGCCCTATATACCTCGTGGTAACAACCTATGTCCATGGTCCTATATACCTCGTGGTAACACCCTATGTCCATGGTCCTATATACCTCGTGGTAACAGCCTATATACCTCGTGGTAACAGCCTATGTCCTTGTCCCTATATACCTCGTGGTAACAGCCTATGTCCATGGTCCTATATACCTCGTGGTAACAGCCTATGTTCTTGACCCTATATACCTCGTGGTAACAACCTATTTTCTTGACCCTATATACCTCGTGGTAACAGCCTATGTCCTTGGCCCTATATACCTCGTGGTAACAGCCTATGTCCTTGGTCCTATATACCTCATGGTAACAGCCTATTTCCTTCGACATATATACCTTGTGGTAACAACCTATTTCCTTGGCCCTTTATACCTCGTTGTAAGAGCCTATTTCCTCGGCCCTATATATACCTCGTGGTAATAGCCTATTTGCTTGGCCCTATATACCTCGTGGTAATATTTTTGTCTGTCCTCTTCGTGCTTATTACACTTTAAGCATTTATAGTACTTTTATGGAATTCTGTCATCAATAATGTATACAATATAAGATATATTGTCCCTCACAATCTCATTAAAACCGGGTGTCAATAACACAACACATACAATGTACAGGCAGTACTTGATAATAACAGAACGCCTTCAAAGTACAGACGGTACATGATAATAACAGCACACCTACAAAGTACAGACGGTACATGATGATAACAGAACACCTACAAAGTACAGACGGTACATGATGATAACAGAACACCTACAAAGTACAGGAGGTACCTGATAATAACAGAACACCTACAAAGTACAGGAGGTACCTGATAATAACAGAACACCTATAAAGTACAGGAGGCACCTGATAATAACAGAACACCTACAAAGTACAGACGGTACATGATAATAACAGAACACTTATAAAGTACAGACGGTACATGATAATAACAGAACACCTACAAAGTACAGGAGGTACCTGATAATAAGTGAACACCTATAAAGTACAGGAGGTACCTGATAATAACAGAACACCTACAAAGTACAGACGGTACATAATAATAACAGAACACTTATAAAGTACAGACGGTACATGATAATAACAGAACACCTACAAAGTACAGGAGGTACCTGATAATAAGTGATCACCTATAAAGTACAGGAGGTACCTGATAATAACAGAACACCTACAAAGTACAGACGGTACATGATAATAACAGAACACCTATAAAAAAGGCAGTTCAACAGGATGTATTTATACATTCGAAAATGTCCAGTATCGAAAAATATACTTTGAGGATATCACATACAATTATTAGAGAAAATATGAATATACCAATATGCTAACATAATCACAATCCAAATTCATGTTCAATAAAACTAGGGCAACATATCAACAAAAGAAAGATTAATACGGAAGCTCCTGCTAACGTGCATGGAAAATAAGACGAGGTATTTCTCAATCAGATTACTAAAATGATAGTAAAACTTTCCCATAATTTTCATCAACCTTCATCTTTTGAAACTTTGTGCCATGAGTATGTCCGTCAATTGTCGACTTCTAGCCTTTGGATATCGATGAAACACAATAGAATGTCGTTATCCAGAAACACAATAGGATGGGGACGCAAGAATGTCGTTATCCAGAAATGGAAAATTACAATAGGGAATTTAAAAAATATCACGTTTATCATACTGCTTGGTTGAAAGCTGTCAATGTTGGTTCTGTAGTAGTAAAAGATCAAAATAAGAGAGTGATGTAGAAGAGTATGTCACTTCCTTGATTTCCAATTCTTGTAATATGGAGTATGGACTTGGTCAATAAATTTCTTTTTATTTAAGGACAAAGCGTCATTCATATATCTAAAAGTGAAATTAAATTACTTTGCATCGTCCTTGTGGCTTGATTTGATAAGGTCTTCAATAAATTCAATAAACGAGAACATCCAAGAAAAAGTCCTCATTACCATGCCAATAGCCTGTTGAAACAGTATAAATCAAACTCGACAAACTCGATCAACTTTATGATTTCATTCTCCGTATATTTCTTCTTTGATTTGGACAGGTTTTTTTTTTCATGAAATATGCTTCAGTATAGTTCACAACCACATATTTGTACCGCCGTTCACGGATTCTTTGAAAAGACGGTTTTCATATCAAGAGAACGTAGGCTTGTTTTAGTTTGAAATGATGTATGGTGTGTACAGAGTGGGAACATCAAATGAATTAAGAACAATCATACTGTATTACATCATAAAATGTTATTCATCGGAGCAGAAATGAAGCAATTTACTGGAATGTTTTATTCATTTCGTTTGTGCTCCATACATATTTTTTACTGTCATCCCATTTTTGTTTTTGTTTAAACTATCATTTCCCCTATTTTGCATTCTTTGGAAGCAGTTCTTTGATGTTTAGAACTATGATTTATCTATTGAAAACATCGTTTATTTGCTATTTGCATTAGAAATATTGGCTATTATGCAGTATATATGTCAGTTTCGTTGTTATAATGCTGGTTCTCTATTTTGAACTTTATATTTCTTACTCAGCGTTACCCAGATTGACATATCGGGTGAATAGATGAAGCAGAAGACGCTTACCCTTACGAAACTCTTTAACTTGATCGCCTTCTAATTATTCGGGGATCTTCTTGACATTTATTTCAATTATATAACTTGTTCTCCACTTGGTTATCTAAAGGAACATAACCATATATATATAGATATATATTATGCTTGTTCTGTAATGGTTTTCTAAGGGAACATAACCATATGTATATAAAGTATGCTTGTTCTGTAATGGTTTTCTTTAGAGATTATGTTTGTCACTTTTGTGTCTTTGCTTTCCTTCGTTAACTTGTCTTGCCGAGCAATGAATTGTTTCTGCCACATGGCTTTTATGTTTTGTAAAATTTCACGGTTATGTTTTTAGAAACAATCTATGTTTCGAGATATTGATTTCAGTGTTCCATGATAAACTTCTTTGTTAACGCAGTCAACTTTCTTCAAATTCGTTTTCCCAAATGTTTTAGCAATTAAAAGCTTTAAAATTGTTCCATCTTACGATTATAGAAATAACGCAATTCGAGATGTATATCAAGAATGCGGAAGATTTACGTGACATAAACATTAATAGGTAAATGAGGAATGTATTGTAATGTTTATCTTAAATTAGATATGTACCACTATGAAGACACAAGCAAAAAATAAGTTGATCGAGAAATGTTCTTTGGCGATATAAAGATAGGTGTGTTTAGCGTCCGTTGTAATGCACTCAATTTCCATATTATTATTCATATTTTATTTGTTGAAGCACTCGGTTTGTTGATTTTGAATGAGAAGAAATATTCTTTAACTTATCCGTATTCATTCATTATTTCAATAAATTTAAAAAGGAAATCATGCTGCTGCTGAAATCCACAAACCTGGTATTAAACATGACCTGCTATAATATACAGGTGCGTACAATCGGTATATTTATATCTTTTACAGCTTCATCCTCAATCCCAGTTATTTTACATTAAAATGCTTACCTCAACAGAGCTGCGTCAATAACGAGAAAGTCATCAAATGGAAATGACCAAGACGAATGAGATAGTTATTATGGAAATTTATGTACATATGCACATCTTTAATGTAACATCTAAATAATGACTACAGATCTAGAAAAAATGAAACATATTTTTCTTCGAAAAGAATTCTTTTGTAATACGGCTTTCATTATCATGGCGTTAAATGATAAAGTTTTTCCCCCTAAATTTATACTTTTTTCATAACTATATTTAATTGATGAATCAGGAGTTAGTCCTGGTGTTCTGGTGTGTCCAATTTTTTTAGATGAAACGCATCAATATGTATAATTTAAGCCACCTTTGAAAAAAAAAAAAAAAAAAAACCTAAACACAATGTCTCAAAATAGCAATATCATTAATTTAATTGCTATTCTTACATATTCACAACAAAAACACAATTCATACGAAGAATGAAAAGTACAAAAAAAAAACTTTTTCATTGATGTCAAAATCAACGTTCTACATTCGGAAGAAGTTTTAATGAAAAGTCGTACAAAATACATAATGTCAATGAAATCAACAGAAAATATTGACATCTCAACATAATTCTAATTCGAACTCAAATCGATGCGATAGCAGTATCGCTATTTCGAATATGGTACACTTTCACATGCTTAAAATTAAGAAGTTATAGATATGATTTCAACGTGCTGTTTTAAGTAATGTACATAAGTTTTAAACATAGGTGACGATATTTGCCATTTCCCTTAAATACATTTGATAATTGCACAAGCGAAAAGTAAAAAAAAAAAAAAAACAAAAACAAAACAAAATTGAAAAAAAAAAAAAAAAAAATCCAACATAATCAAATGAAAGTAAAACTGAAAACTAATGTGTAATTCAAACAAACAATTCTACAATATTGTTCTATCGCTATAAACGATAAAATAAATAAATTAATAATTTACTCAATTTTAAAAAATGTATTAGTGAGGTTTCGTATGTGTTACAAAAGTAAAATATTACGATATAAACATTTGAGAACTGAATCCCCGATCTAAATTTTAATATAGAAATAATACCATGGTCATGTATTATCTTCAAAGTTAAATCATCCCTTTATTGAGCCGTCTTGGTGACATAATATGGCATTAACGCACATTTCAAGCCCAATACCTCCGAGACCCGTATTTTCATCCCTCCAACAAATTTCGTTTAATTAAGCCGAGGGATGACTGTTGATAGCCCTTCTCCACACGCATCCTTCTTTGCCTAGCTGTTTGCTGTAATTACTTATGTGACTAGTAGCTAGACAAGACGATGGATCAGTCATGTTCGAGGGCACCAATGATTGACTTTGTGAAAACAAACTGGCATTGCACACTCGAGGCCTAATTTTTGCATAGTTAATGCAGAGAACTTAAAACGCCGCATGCAAAAATTGCCTTCGTTTAGTCTCAGTCGCCTGTGTATCTGTATCGAACTTGTGGGCTAAATTACCGCCAAGTCATGTGACTTGGCTGCCTGTGTATCGACCCATTTCGACGCGAAAATGAAAAGGATATGCAGATTTTGGAGTCTAAATTGTCCAGTTCTCTAGCCTGAAGAACACCTGACAGGTAAGATATATTTCACAAACGAACTATAGTTAAATATAAGTGTGTGGTAATATTTACAGAGTACTAAATCAGACATTAGAAGGTGTGAATGCACGGCGGTCTGCGGTTTACAGTGATAACAAATATGGCCGCCGTGAGCTTGTGTGTATGCGATCGGCCCCACATACCGTCCTCAATTGATAACATTGTGTGGCCCGCTAACAGCTATTCCGCGGGAAATTTCTTTGTCATGTCTTATATCATACTTACAAGAAGAAAAGTAAACTTTCATTTGTTCTCATCAAGGTTGTCAAGTTTTAATTAATGCATATTTAAAAATATTTTTGTTTGCAATTTTAATAAAAAAAAAAAAAAAAACGAAATCAATAACCAATGATTTCGCAAAGAATCGAATAATTTAGTTCACTGCTACGATAAGTACAACTCATATGTTTATTTACTATGCTATACGTGTATTTGCATAATTTCATTATTATTATGTTATGAAAACAAATATGGTATAATAAATTATACACATAAACATAACAGTACAATGACTTCAGAACTATGTTAATGTAAATTATATATATATAGATGAAGAATATGGATATCCTAGACCGCCCTATCAGGTGGAACTGCATGATAAGATGGTAACACGCTTGCATGGTTGCTGAATTATTGACCAGTAACTCCGTGGACACAATCTTGCACGCCAATGAATAATTCAGATTTGTAATTAAGCTGAGGAGAGCACCATCTTTCGGATAAATGCATTGTGAAATTCAATTCCTGACCACCGAGAAATTACGTAGAACATAAAAGAATTCACCAGGAGTAATGTCAATATCATGAAATGAAATGGACACTATAACTTAAGTTGAAAATCGCAGCGTCATCTCTTATAATACTGAACAAATCATGAGGTCACCTTACCTCATTTGGACGATTATTTTATCGTCAATAAAAATTGACTTTAATTTATGGACATAAAGTTGTTTTTAAATGCATGTTAATAGAGATAATACAAAAATGGAACCTGAGACCTCCCACAGAATGTGGATTTAAACTGATCACGTGTGTACTTGGCTGGTCACGTGCCTAATCCATTTCAGCAGAAATTCTGACAGTTGCATCTTTACGGTAGATTTGACGTCCTCTCGACTGTAAAAAACATATTATAGAGTCTTCAACCCCTTCAATATCCTCGCTGGTCACCGTTTTCCTCGCGTTTATGTAGTTATTGCGTAGTGGTCGACTGGTCTGCGGATCACGCTATTTTGGAAATGAAAAACCGGAAATTGCGCATGATTTTTCTGGTTTGTTGATGAAGCCGTAATATGTATCCGCGAGTGCGTCAGCAGGAATATAACGTGTTCAATAATGAATATGCCGTTAGCGGTTTATTTAAAAGCATATACAAAGGGTTATATTCGAACACGGATTTTAGCACAGGTGCGAGTGAAGAATGCGTTATCACTTTCTCAGGTTGAAGAGAACATATCGTGAGGTTTTAATTTACAAATAGTCTGATCACGCTATCTCCGGTCTGGAGAAAGAACTCCACAATATTTTAGACCGTAATACGTAAAACATTATTGAACATATTTTCTCAGTATGACTCAAATCTTTGCCATATTGCAGGTAAGTGCGTACTTCCTGATTATAAGGAATAAGGAATTACTCCTTTTCTGCAGTAAATTGACATGCGCATTAATACTATACGGTCATAACTTTACCGTACATTTCATACAAGTTCATTTACAACATTGTGCGCGGCGATGTAATGCGTTACTGTCCAATATTTTGTTATAAGTGTCAATCATTTTCTAATAAACGTAAGCAACTTCTCAGAATTCGAATTGAAAAATTGGTAGTGACATGTTGTCCCCCGTTTGTCACTCTACATATAATCAGATGCAGCAAGATTCAAGAGGCACTTTTTTAACAATAAGAACATATTTAGAATAAGATGCGGGACTAACATACCATATCTATGCAAAATGACAAAATATGACGCAAATGACTTGCGCATTCAAATGCCATGCTTAGATATACACTCTGCACTCTCTCAACTTTCCGAATTTAATTTATGTCTCTGAAGAAGTGTTCTGAACACGCATATCTAAAACACATGCTAACACGATGTATTTAGCGGCATGGCCTTCTTTATAAGATAATATAAATATAATCGAACTGATCTTGAAATTTCATCATTTTTTGACGGGAACCACAAAACAAAAGGAAAGACATCATTGAATGTTATAAAAATCGCTGAAAAATCTATATACAATATGCTGTGTATTTTATGCGATATTCAGGTTTAAGAAAGTGTGTTACGGAATGATTCCTTCTGGGACCGTACAAGGTGTAGGGAGTATGTATCATTAAGTGACATTCCTTATCCCTTTACATATGCCAACCACATGGTCGTTTAGATAAACGTGATAGAAACACAATTACATCAAACAGAAAAGAAGCTTATGCAAAGATACGATTTCACTGCCAATATTAGGATCAGGTTTATGAAACATTTTTGTTTTGAATCGTTGGTTTTATCGTCTTTGTCGATCGTCAGACAATGTTTTGTAGGCTAGTACAGGGTATCTGAACAAACATTCGAGACGTTGATATAGATATCAAAACACGGAAGGTTGCAATGTATCTTCATCCTCCTGGCTCCTCTGAAACTGAATTTGATGAAAACAAGCATTGTTCATCACGAGGCTGAATTAAAGTTTTACAGTCGTTTAGCGTAATAAGTGATAGCTCAAATCAAAAATCATGTTTGACGGTTTAGAAGAGCTGCTTTCCTCAGTGGTAAATATTAACACAACTTTTACATTAAACTGGCACATCGTGTCGAATCTGGCAAATTGGGCATCAATGCGAACATATTTTTTTCATTTCGGAAAACAAGAACGAATTTCCATGACTATTCAAAGTCTAGACAATTTGTTTCAACGTTTTACTATTAGATGGAATTAAACAAGTGTTTCTTTAAGAAGGTGAACGACATTTGCCCCCAAGCACACAATATTATCGCAGAACCTTGTTACGATCTCAACAAAATTCAATGAGTTAGCCTCAAGCATTATTTTTCTCATTACGAATGAATCAATTATTCATTTAGATATCATTAAAAGGCAACACTCTTTATCTCTCGTAAAATATCAGATAAACGATCTGTAGTTCTATCGATCAGGAGGAACGTATTTCACAAGTTTTAGATTGACACAATATTGATTAATTTGTGTCCTCCTTCGGATTCGCTAGAGTATCTCACCAGCTTTAGGTATTCTTTAAGAAAATGCATCTCTAGATTACTGCTTTTGATAAACCTTTCGCTCTTAAACGGAGTTAGCTCCCGTGTCGAGAAACGGAAGAGAAGTTCGATTGTCCAAAGCACAGTCACTCTGTTACATTGCTAGAACACTCATTACTTGAATTTCAAAACTTTCATACACGTATAGTTCTTATATTATTTAAACTCAAAGTTGTTATCAAATTGTGTGGGCTTTTAAGCTTTTATTTTTCTTTATTTCTTTCTTATTTTTTGAATCCATTGAATGTAATATCATAAAAAAATCGCGTTTGAAAAATCTAAGATATAGTGAACATTTTGTTGTAACTTTTAACAGAAATCCTGACGTAATTAAATATGAATGATGTTATTTTCTAATCGATGAATACAAAAATTTCTTTATCTAACTTGTGATGCATTTTGCTGATACATTCTGACTAAATCAACGTTTAACTCATTTTTATTTGCAAATAGCACCATGGTCACCGTAAACCTTGTATTAACTTTAATTTGGATTAACATCACTAGACACATGCAGAGCGTGTTTCTGTATTTGATTAATATAAAGCATAACTGATTAGTCAAATTACCATTGTATATAGTATCCACGTGTCTCGTAGGTTGTCAAGAAACAAAAACTACACCAAGTAAACATACATATATCACTACGAGATATATCATTTGCGAGCATTAAACGCACGTGCAAGTGATAATAGACGTTGTAATCCATTTCCATTCAGTAGTCAAAGCTGAAATGAACGTGTTTACTCTAAAAAAGACATTTAATGTAAAGCATATATATTTGCTGACAAACAATGCAATGCATGTATACGATAAAAAAAAAACATCGAACGCATACGTGTACAGTAGATGAGACGTTAGATGTTGTATAATTCGAATGACGCGTTCTGTTTGCTTATCTAATGAATAATGGAGCAGTTTTCATTATGATGCACTGCAGGTGGAATCTTTCTTCTTCTCATGATTGTAGTAGGTGAAGGTCCTTTTCTTTTCATAGTGTTTAATTTATATCAAACGGCGATAAAATGAAGACATTTATGATATTAACTTGTACAGTTACAGGAAAATAACACACAATTTAAGAGAATTACATGATTTATATCATTCTTATGCCTTTTCACTTTATCTATGGTAACATATATGACCTGTTGGGAATGTTTTGTTCTTTTTCGAAATAACTTCCACAACTTTACCGACCCAAATAAACCAGGCAGTTATTAATTCACCAAAGCTAGCAAAATACCTACATTGTGTATTGGAGTTAACGATTAACACGTAATCTACAAAAATTATGTCTTTTGACGAAAAGAATTACCTGAAACGTGTCTTACAAGCAAAAAACATATCTCATAATAAATGAATTTCACACTACCTGAAATCATGTTCATAAGGAAGGATGTATTCACACTCACGTTTTCTAAAATATTCTTTTTTTATATATCCGGGCCATATCATAAGGACAGTAATTTACTGTTTACCTGAGAAACAGTTTAAAGTATATCTATTGCAAAACATTTTTATCTCGTTGATTTATTTATCTTCACTTGATAGCACTCGTAAAGCGTTTACTAATGTTATGGAATTTTGACAGAGAACGACACATGACGGAGGTGATAGAGATGGGAGTGATTTCTTACTAATAACAGCTATCGCATTTCACTTTATTGTAGTGATTACGTCAGCGGGATGTTTCTACGATGACAAGATTTATTTCTTCTGTAAAATGTTTTCACTTCACGAGTGAAAATCGTGTTAATTGTGGAATGTGCTGCACCACCAAGTTTCCATGTTTTATTGCTAGTGTGCAGGGCTATCCGAGGGCAGAGTCATTGATTTGAATTACGCGTCGATTTATTTCTTCACTGCTCGGAACATCGGTATCACATTAAAAGAAACAACACAGGGTTGCAAATAAAAATCGGAAATGTCTTGCAATGAAATTAAGCAAGAATCAATTATCTGTTTCCACCTATATTATTCAACAACACAATATGAATAAGAGAGGGATTTAAGCAAATGTTGGATGATTACTTTCTTTCTTTTTGTTGAAACATTTTTATGTATGTGCTTAAAATTTGAAATCTAGTCTGAAGTATTTACATGATTATCATGTCGTTAATTCGTTTTTAATTTGATTTATGTATATTTGCACACACACACATGCCATACTTAACAGATACATAACAGACCAAACCTGATAACAGACGAAGGTTGCAAAATATTTTAATAACTGCTCTATCAAATACATATTGAAACGGTTCATTAATTTAGTATATTTACGACCATGGCTGGGGTTCCCTCGCCATGTGATAACAGGATGGGTTGTGTAGCGCTGATAAGTCTGACGATCAACCAAGAGTAGATTGACCGTGATTGGGAGGGGGCCTAATTGGCAATGAAGCTGACATTTTGACTGATGACGGAGGCGGTCAAACTGCATTAAAAGGCATTTTAGCTTTTGTAAACGGGGAACGTCTCAAGAGTCACTTTGTAGGAATTAGCAAATGCCAAGAGGTGCCAGTACTTTGTGTATTTCTTGGCACCGATGGTTGTGTATATAAACGCTGACAAAGGATGTGGAAGGCAGTCTTGTTTAATCGTGAGTAATCATAGAAAATAGGGTAAACATGAAGTAAATGTTATAAAATTGGGGACGGCCTTTAATGTCAGCTATATAAACATACATATATATATATGTATGTATTTCATTTTCATATTAACGATATATTTTACAGATTAGAAGCTGAATACCATTGTTTACGAACCATACACAAGTGTAAACTTTTTTTCAATGTCACTACAGCGAATTTTTGTTGAAAAATAGTTTATTTAGCTGATAAATGAACTTATTTACGTTTACGATTGAAGATAACAGTTAGTTCCACAACATCCAAGTATGATACAGAATTAAATTATTGTAAAAATGTTGAAGATTGTACAAAAGACAAGTGAATAGCACATTTTCATTTAGATTTCGAGATAGAGAAGAGCCAAACAATGAATTAAACTGAATCATACAGTTATTAATTACCTATGGACTAGTCAATGCTACTAAGGGCTTTAACTCTGAAGCAATGATTACCTTAAGTAACCAATCAATCAATACCAGAAAAGGCCTTTGAAAAATGCCTTACACAGATAATTATTCCACTGACAATTTTATTGGTATCAATTTTCTGGGTTATCTACTCATCCATAGTTTCCCGTTGGCTTTCCTCCATTGGCGAGTCAGGTTTATGACCAGTTCTGAGGCTATTACTGTTTGTCTCTAACATGCTTTTAGCCACTTGTGTCTGTCCTGTTGTTTCGTATCACAGACTGTTCCCCGAGTGGCTGGTGGATCTTCAAGCCATGAATGCTTTTCCCAACCGTAATCGATTCCGAAAAAAATCGGTCGTTATTGCGCTGTCATCTTATGGTATTCACAGCATAGCAAATTACATGGCTCCCCGCAAGCAATTTTCACTTGGAAATACATCAAGCCACTTTACGGAATGTGGACCCAGCTTTGAGAATGGCGTTACACGTGGGACAAGGAATTGTCATGCAAGACGATTGACTGGCTGGTTTATCCCACCGCTTCCACTGCGCGTACACACCCTGTCCTGTCAGGCATACCGTCTCCGCTGTCGGGGGAACGCTACTGATGGATCTTCGCACCGATCACGCGCTCGGGAGCATGCTATATTGATGGAACGTCTGACCGCTGAGGAAATTGTTTCTGTGTTTTGGGTCATCTTCTTGTGGAATCGCTTTATCCCGAAGTGTGTACGCGACAAGAAATGTCAAATCTATAATTAATTAGAGACCTTTGCGGATCCTTATGTAGAATTTGCGCTTGTGGTACATTCTACTTCGTTAAGGACTAAAGCATGGTTTTATTAGAGATTTTTATGTGTGAAGAATGAGTTTCGTTGACTGAGTGCGCCTTCGACACATGTTCTGGCAGTTATCTGTGAAAACACTATTACCCGTGGTAGGTAAAGAACTACATTCTCACACAAAGGTGTTAATGGACAAATGAACATGATGTTTGCTGTTTGGTTTCTATATTTAACGCAAAAGTTATTCATAGACAAGAGAAATGTAGTTTGTTATCACTACCAATGCTTTCCGAACAGCATGTACACATATTGGATAATTTATCGTGGTGATAGGTAATATGTTTCCCCTACAATAAATATATACAAGTGCGTTTATATGCGTGATAATGCACAACAGGTACAAATGTCTTGTTGAGATATTGTGTTAAGTTAACATAGATCCACACAAAGGAATAAATGTAACAGCAACATCTTAATGTGTAGGAGAGCATTTAACTGTGACAATGGAGCATTTCTTTCAGCGATGGTTTGACGCCGGATGCATTTTTATGCAACTGCATTTGTTTACACCAGGGATGGCTAACCAATCAAAATTTTCAGCTGTGTGCAGCAAGTTCAAAAAATCGATGTTGCAATTCGGAGATATTCTTGCTTTTAATGAGAGCCTAGCCCCGCACACATTACTTCGTAGCACCTGTTCGCATGCCTTCACTCAGCCTTATTTTATCTGCTTCCTCCTATTGAAGGCAGTGAATGAGACTGTTGGGAATACATCTGCCTAATTGGTATTCAATCTACCGATACATGTGACATTTTGCCGGATCTCTTTGAATCACTTTTCGTGTTTGAACTCTAATGATAGAAGTAATTTCACAGCCACCTGTTGCAGAGCTTTTAAGTTCTTGGATGCATAGATTTAGATCTGGAAGGAAATTAGACACCGTTGGTCTAGTGTGCTGCAAGATTTTAATGCTATCAATATATGAGTCTAGAATCCATGTAACAGTGTTAACAATACATTTTTTTCTACAATTTAAAAGGAAATTCAAAACAACTTCTGGCTCGAACAGGAAATAACCAGATTGTACTGAACTCCAAATCAAAAGGAAAGACAACATGGGAGAGCAAATATATATATATAATTGACTCTTTATTTCTTGCAACACATATGACACTTGTCATCAATTGAACCGTCGATATTGACTCTGGACGTATTTGTTATTCGTTAGTATAACCAGTGGCCCTGTCTTTGTTTACCGTTTTCGCACGTGGGAACGTGACATTACTTACTAGGATTGATTACTGTTATCGTCGCAGGTGTCGTCGATGAAGAAGAAGACGCTTACTCTTCCAGAACAACTGGTCTTCTTTTAACTTTTAAGGCGTCTCCCTGTTAATCTTTCTTTTTTTGTTCCTGCTTTACCCTAGTTTTATCGAAGTCGTGCTAGTACCATCCATGCAACTGCGATTTGCATTATAAATATGAATGTTTTGCTGTGTGTCTCAGACATGTGTGTACTCGTACAAATTCTGTGTCATATTGTTGATGTGAATGTCTATATTGTATTGGTTGGATCAGGTAGATAATCAGAGTGTGTTCATATTTCAACACATATCAAAGAGTCTTTGAAAGACAAATATATGTACGAAAGCTTATGACGTAAATTGTGATACCTTTGTTTCAAATATCATATGTCTATAGGGAAGTATTACGCATTTCCAATGTTGGTATCAGGACTCTCTTTCTCAAATAGAACACGTCCTCGAGCCATTGACTTCCCTGAATGTCAGCCGCAAGATTTATCTGCTGTCTATTACAAAATTCATGTGAGGCAAATACATTTGGGATGCGATTTTATTAATTTCGACTGTCTTTTTTTAACGCCTTCTTTGAAACTGCATCATGTATGGCTTTAAATCGAGAGTTTGCCCCTGTGAGGAAGATTTTGTTTTCAAACGGAAGTGACTACTCCTTGCGTAATGTTCAGCATTTTGGTAACGTAACGATTGACTCGCTCGTTGTCAGAATGATGTGACTGGGTGGAGTGTCCTGTTGAAGGCCTTCGACAGTATACTTCAGTGTGATAACACTATAAAGTGACCTTAGGTTCCGCACTACCCAAAGGAGTCTTGCTCAAATGTAGTAATACAGCATTAGGGTTCTCCCATTTCTGTCTTGAAGCTTAGCATTATGGTTTTGTAATGCCAGGTTTGTCCGTTGTCTTTATCATGTGACCGGATGGGGTATTTTCCTGAATTTCGGCAGTATATATCAATTTGGAAGCACTTTCACAACATGTGCACCTACCTAGCATACATACATTGTACTTTGCCATGTTTATCGTCACCATATAGAAGAAGGCCGAGAGAGCTCTGACCGAAGGTCTGAAGCATCACTGGGGAAAGGTGTCATTTTCGTATCAATCATGGTTCACATTTCAACGTTTATTTACAAACAAGTGATCTTCCTGGTATTTCTTCATATATGTGGCATTTCGTGTGTTTATAGATATAAGATAGTTAAATTACTGTTTGCAATTTCAGGTAAAAGATGTTGCCCACGGCCAAGATGAAGCTGTCTGAGCTGAATCCCCATCTGATCTGTGTTCTGTGTGGTGGCTATCTTATAGATGCTACTACCATCATGCGATGTCTACATTCATGTAAGTACCTAATACCTTTAAAATATTACAAAATATCATTTCCCCTGTGCCTCAAAATACGAAGTTTCGTGTTCTATTGATACAAAATAATAACAAAATGCATTTACAGTAAAAATCCATGTCATATTTTAAAATCATTTTAATAATAATTAGGAATATCAAGGTATAAATGGCAAAGACAAATGTGAATTTGAATGCATTGTAATACAAAGTATTTCAGATGTATTATTTGAGAGATTCCTAGCTTGATTGACAGGTATAAATAGTCTCCAGAAGGACTTCAGTTAATCGCCAGATTACTTCCTGTGTTGTCATGGACCCCATTTGTACAGTTGGGCATGCTGAAATAGTCAGGTCAAAATGATTTTCCGCGACTCATTGACATTTCTCAAATCGTAAATCGTCGAGAAACAAATTATATGATTGTAACTATGAATTGATTAATGGGCCGGGATAGATTAAACGAAACAGGATGATAATTAATCTATATAACAATAGAAGACATCGAGAATAGATCACAAAACGATTTGAATCACTTTAGACACTGTGAGATTTATATACTTAATTTTATGTTGATAAGACTGTATCTTGTAAAGATATTCCGCATAAATTATTTATAAAAATCTCATGTAATCTATACAGATTATTTATCATTATAACACTAGTCAGCTCAGTACGTGATTTTATTGTCTATAACACGAGTACTGCCTTACGCAGTAACTCTACTATCTGTCCTTTGGGGGAAAGATAGTGTTATATTCTGCGGGTTTTTTTATTGGTAAATGCCAATATCGTGATGCCATCAATATTACTGCGCTATCTAGGCTCATAAATATTTTCAATATACCGGTGTTTCCTCAATAAAGGACAGGCTGATTAAGTTGATACCACAGGGAAGAGGCAATAATAGTGATAAAATACACTGTATACACAAAACTTTAATGTGGAAGGGTTTTAGATAAAACAAGTATATGTATGTTGACTGGCCTGCACCTTCAACTAGTTTACAATACTGAAAACTTACATATTTTAGCTATAATTCTATCTTGGAGCTTTCCGCACTTACTGTTCTGCAATTATTGCAGTATCTGTATGCTGCTTGTACAGTAAATGTCAACGCGCAAATTTATTCAATTCTAAGTTAACATTTTTTTTTATAAATACCTGACATGATGAACTTTAAGATGATACATTAGATATGCTATTGCAGTTAGCAACCCTATAGAAACCTTGGTAACACAATCACGTCATTGGGGAAATTATCATTTCCTATTGTATTGAAAACCAAAATATATTCAATACACTTTAATATAACTGGTGTTTTCTTTCCATTTCATTTGGTTCTTCTTTGAGAACGTGACATTAGTAACTTTGATTTCCCAAAATTGGTATGGCAGATGTCAACGATAAAGCAGAATTAGATACCCCTATCGGAACACATGGATTATCACCTTGTACTTTGTTATAAAGTTTTTCAACTTATGTTTTCATATGTTACCATAGTGCAATCGATTTGTATTCCGAATTAAAATTTTGTCATCAAATATCTGTACTATTGATTAAAAACCAAGGCAAGTTACAAGGTTAGTTGTAATAAAGGTACTTTGAGTTGACTGAGAGTACACAGTGATGTAAACCACGAGATTGAAGAAACCCTTGAGTAAGATTATTGGAAACTTTCAGATATATTAGAGAATTCAAAGTATATAAATGAATATCAACAGAGTATCAGAAAACCCACCCACTCTATCAGAACATGCCAGTGTCTTTGGTGTAGTTATTGCTATTTTAATGGCCAAGCGAAAATGATTTGGAAATCTTAACTGTTATGATATGTTGTGTTTGGTTGATAATATTGATTACGAAGTTTGAAATACCCTAAAATCTCAAAAAAAAACAAAACAAAAAAAACAAAGAAACAAAAACAAAACAAAAACAAAATAAAAAAACAAGCCGACCACAAAAAAACCCCTATATTTCGTGAATACTTTATTTCGAGAACTTACCACTTCAGACATATTCATGAATACTTGATATAGCGAACGGTGACCTAGAAATGACTTTACACTCGCGAATAATGGACTATCAGTTATACAGATTCCGATATCGGTAACCAAATGAACGTTGATGTCATCAAGAATTATTTCTGTACAAATAATCGCGAGGGATTTGAATTCGCGATTGACTCTCCTCGCGTATTAACGCGAAAGTAAATCCCACTCGAAATATAAGTAATTTACAGTGTAAATAAATCAGCATTTGCTCACTACAAAGGAAATAAGCCTCGTCTTATTGTCGAGTTTTTTAGAAAATGTTTATCACTTGAACAATCTAGTGCTGTTGCTGATAACCTTTCGTCTTAGAATGAAACTTCATAATTCGATTAGAAGACTATCAAGGCTATGGGCGATTTTATGGTTCTACCTTGAATTGTTAGAAAAAAAAAACTTTCCGCTAATAATTCGTTTAAAAGGCAATTTTCGCTGTGTATACAGACACTAATTACATTTCATTCTGTTAAGTTTGTTAAACTTTACCAAAAGAAACACGTGTTTATTGTTGAATGTCTCTGACCTCTCCTTATAGAGGATTACTATATTAGACCTGTCTATAGCGGCCATATTGCCCAGTTTCAATCATATAACAGTGCATATTAATTAAGACCCTGACTAAAACACCTGCCATCTCATCAATGGTCGTCTTTCCCTCTCCCTGTAAGTAGAAGTCCCTGTAAGTAGAACTTGTAAATGTATTTTAACGCAATCAGTATTGTTCAAGAAACTAGCTGTCGTAAGATATATATATATATATATATATATATATATATATATATATATATCTAAGACGAATACAACTTTTCGTCACAGACATTTGTTATTAGTTGAAAATCATGCATTTGTTCAAACCCCAAGGTTTGCCGTGGACTGCCTGTTACTAAATCTGTTAGATACTGGTTGAAGATCATGAAATGTGTTATCTGTAGGGTTCATGTATCGTCTATACTCTACTTCCTTTCGACCAATTTTGATCTTGCATTGTCACACCCTAGGTTTCAACATTTAAGGATCTTTACATTACTGGCAAGTCCTAGAAGGACGAAATGGCTGTATGATGCAGTTAAATTTCAAATAAGTAAAATTTTCGGCTATGTTTTACCTACTTATCTTTAACGGTGTCATGGCATGGCGACTGTCTTCGATAAAGCATGCTTACTCTTCCAGAATATATATAAAAAAAAAAGCCATATACTACAGCTATCCATATCACTGAATACAATAGAGAAGTGACAACACCAATAATCAGCGGTCATATTCCAAACTCAAATTCAATAAAACTAAGGTAAAATATTAACAAAAGGGAGATTTACGTGGGGATTCGTGAAAAAAGTACACGACGAATATGATAATGTATATGATGTACGTGAACATATATCGAGAGAAGATACATTTAACGCAGACAATCCATCGATATAGATAGGATTGCCCTACTGAACGTTTCAAATGGTTCTGTACGTTTTTTATTGTGTTATACAGCCAGGAAATATTGCCATGCTGGGACGTGTATGTTTGTTCTTCTGGGATAGATAGGATTAACACATGTTGTTAAGTCTACAGAGAATATCGCCCTTCTACAATTATGTCGTGTGGATGAGACGACTCAGGCGGTGGGGAGGGGAGATAGGACCAGTCGTGGGGATGTTTAGTTTCAAAAGAACCTGTTACGTGTATTGGAGATTCAGCGCTTCAGGGTGAGAGGTTACATGAATATGGTCATTAACTAATCCAATATCATCAAACATATCACCGACCTAGATCACAAACGACCATGTAGATTGTCAGATACACACGCTTGTCCTTATCTGCTGTAATATACTTTACACCATGTTCCTTCAGATACAAGGCACACGCTTGTCCTGGTCTGTTTCAATGTGCTTCCCGCCATTTTCTATGGCAACCGTATACTTCAATCGATAGAAAAAATCATGGTATTGCCCTGTTTGAGGGGAATCGCCTGCCTGCTCTTTGCCATTTCATGATTGAAAGTGGCTCCTGCAAAACGACAACTTAAATTGATACAACGTGTCTGACTTTGTTTGAAGAAGTTGAAGTATATAGCTATGATTGTGTTTTTTATTTTCAATTATTGTGATACATGTCTGTCCTTTTTGAAAGGCCGAAAAAGACGTGGACATACACAATGCATTTTGTGTTGAAAAAGTAACCTGGAGTAGCGAGAATATCCCACCATATTGTAGTATACCTTGCTGATCATTTCACCGATGTATACATGTTAACATATTACTTATTTTATATGAATTCTGAATTCATCGTTTTCTTATCCCAAGTGCATGCTACCAGTATATAAAATAAATTATCTACTCAATCTCTGTTTCACCTACTATGCTTACGGTAATGTCAGTATGAGACTAAATGTAATCATTATTTCGGTTTGAATCATCTCATCACATGAACGATAAATTTCGGTTAAAATCATTTCATCACATTAACGATAAATTTCGGTTAAAATCATCTCATCACATTAACGATAAATTTCGGTTAAAATCATCTCATCGCATTAACGATAAATTTCGGTTAAAATCATCTCATCACATTAACGATAAATTTCGGTTAAAATCATCTCATCACATTAACGATAAATTTCGGTTAAAATCATCTCATCACATTAACGATGGATTTAGTTTAATAATACGTAAGGAACTCCAATAAACCCCAAGCCCTGTGTTTTTTGTCAATTAACTGTATGCGTCTGTGATAGACAACATTTTTTCTTAATAAACTGTCAAATTGATCGCATGCATTCCGCATTCAGTGTAATGGATTAATTTATAACACTTGTATTGATGAAGTGTCATTGAATTAATAACAAGATTGTACAAAAGGCACACAAGTCAATATCACGTGTCATTACAAATATGTACAAAGGACATGCATGTAGAAATCAACTTTCAATGCAATGATTGTATAAAAGACGAACAAGTA